TTAACCTCCTCGATCACGACCTGCACTGTACGGGGACAGAACTAGAGACACAGTGTTGACCAGATATTTAGCTTTCTTAAGGCTGTTTAGTCAGAATTTAAGGTCCGTAGTTCTTAATGAGTATTGTGTGCCTGTTAATCATCTTGTGGGGACGTCATGTGGTCAATCAGTCAGTCAGTCAGTCAGTTAGTCAATCAATCAATCATTCTGCCAGTCAGTCAGTCAGTCAATCAATCATTCTACCAGTCAATTAGTCAATCACTCATTCTGCCAGTCAGTTAATTAGTCAATCAATCACTCTGCCAGTTAGTCAATCAATCAATCATTCTGCCAGTCAGTCAGTCAATCAATCATTCTGCCAGTCAGTCAATCAATCATTCTGTCAGTCAGTCAATCAATCATTCTGTCAGTCAGTCAATCACTTAGGGAATAAGGACTGATACACATAGAGCTGATAACACAGTTGATAAAGCGAATAATGTGTTTCCAGAAGGTACAGTTCTTGATTACACCTGAGAGTTATCTTAGCACTACACAAGGCAGGTACATGTGATCTTGTCTCATACATTTTTATATTAATCTTCAAAAATGATAACAACAACAAGACAACACGACAACAACAACGACACGACACCAATACAACAAGACAACACGACAACAACAACGACACGACACCAATACAACACGACAACAACAACGACACGACACCAATACAACACGACAACAACAACGACACGACACCAATACAACACGACAACAACAACGACACGACACCAATACAACACGACAAAATAACACAACACGACAATAACAACACAACAAAAGGGACAAAAACAATACAAGAACACGACAACAACAGAACAACAACTCAACATCAACTCAACATCAACACGACATCAACACGACAATACCCAAACAGATCGGTAAAAGCTTGACCTAGTAATGGACGACAGGTAATGGGCACAGTACAGTAAGTGACCCCCCACGTGTTGTCCCTCTATCGAACTGATGAACAGATAATGGTACTTCATGATGATGATTGAACCCTTGAGGACGATGATTGAACCCGATGATTAGGACCCCTTGAGGACGATGATTGAACCCTTGGACGATGACCCTTGAGGACGATGATTTAACCCCTTGAGGACGATGATTAACCCCTTGAGGATGATGATTTGATTGAACCCTTGAGGACGATGATTGACCTTGAGGACGATGATTTAACCCTTGAGGACGATGATTTAACCCCTTGAGGACGATGATTTAACATGAGGACGATGATTGAACCCTTGGGACGATAGTTGAACCCCTTGAGGACGATGAGTTGAACCCCTTGAGGACGATGATTGAACCCCTTGAGGACGATGATTGAACCCCTTGAGGACGATGATTTAACCCCTTGAGGACGATGATTTAACCCCTCGAGTCAAAGGGTTAAGTCATTATACTCAGGAAGTTAACGTTGCCGATGCGATTCAACTTAAGAGAACCTTCGCAGCCAATACTAATAATACTAATACTAATACTAATAGTAGTAGTAGTAATGATGATATACTACTACTACTAATAATAATAATAACAACAACGACACAGTAAGGTAGAGAGAACAACACACGCTGCTGAGCATCTTGGCGGTGGTAACCTCATCACACCACTATCTCCCTCACGTTATCTTTAGTGACAGAAAATCACAGCCAAGTCGTAATCACACACACACACATACACTTGTTTTTACCGAGGTGTCTGTGTGTTGATATACCGAGACCTGAATTAATATCATTACACAGTTTGAGGTGTTGTCATATGACCTTAAAGAGATGGCGTTTTAGGGAATTCCCGTATCTGTACTTTATACCTACATCTGTCCTTGTATTCATCTCTCTCTCTATAAGTTCTCTCATTAGGTTAGGTTATAAAAGCGGGGTGTGCCAGAGTAGTGGACATTGGCACCCCCTGTTTCTCCTCCACTTGACATGGCACTGATAACTTACTGACAAGGTGTGTGGCACTCCATAAGTGTCACGCCTAAAAAAATACTCACTCGTTACGTATAGTGGAATGTCGGTAATTAGGACACTCGTGGTCCGCTTCAGCGAGGTGGCCTCTTTAGCGAATACGGATAAAACTCAATAGATAAGAACAATTGTTACAAAATGGTTGATATATGCAACATTCGTTAGTCAATGAACAAAATGTGATTTCTTTCAACTGGTGGCATGAAGCACAGAATGATCACAATCAATAGTTAGTCGTTTATATAGAGTAAGGTAAGGTAGTCAATGTTTGATAGATTCACTGGGTATTTCAGTACTCGTAAATGTGTCATTTCCGATAACCTCAACACTCCAGCACACTGTCTTCTGGTGAGCCACCCAGGGTACAGCTTGTCCCTGTAACGAGATCTCCCCACGACTACTCATAACATCAACTGACTTGAACTAACCAAAAGACCTGACAATTGCGACGCCGACTACACGTGTCAGGTCCTATCGGTTATCCAAGTGGAGTGAGGGCCTTAGGACTAACAACTGTCCAGACATGACAACAGGATGGAGCTCATAGCCATTCAAAATCTTGAGAGGGATGGAAAATGTAAACCTGGGCCATTATTCGTGATGTCACGCACCACCAACACATCTTGAAGCTCACCAAGGTGTCACGCAGGAAGAATATAAGGAAATAATTCTTCACACAGAGGCTGGTAGACCTATAGAATAGTCTACCAACTTAAGCTGTAGAAGTCAAAGACGAAAGACTATTAACAACAATGAACATGAGAATGGAGGAAACTGCAGCGGGCCTATTGTCCCATAGGTAGTACCAAACAGGGAGGTACTACCGCCTGGGAAGATATTGAAAGCACAATGTATTGTCTAATGGTAGACTCTGCTGCCATATGGCATCACGAAAATTGTGACCAAGTCACAGGTTGCTGATCTGTCTTTCTGCTTCACACAATTGCAGGGTCCCAATTGTTTCTCTTACTATTGACAACACAACATAAATATAATGCTTCTCACTTCTGATTTTTTTTTCATTTTTGTATTTCTTTATGGTTCTTTGTTATTATTATTATATTTTTTATTTTATTTTCAATTTTGTATTTTATATCAAAATTTTATTTACTATGAATTATTATTATTATTATTACATTTTCGCCCCCCAGGCCCCGATGTGGGTCAGTGACTTGTGCCCGGGTCGGCTAATCCCCATAAAAAAAAAAACTACGTAGTTCCGTTAAAACCAACCCCCATCGCTCATATAACCGTCCAACCTATATTTGAAGCTACCTAGCGTGTTCGAGTTAATGGTGAAGTTCGGTAACTTGTTCCACTCATCCAATACTCGATTTCCAAACCACTGGCCTCCTTCCTTCGGCCTGGTCACCTGTAGTGGGTGACCATTAAGTAAATTCATATATAATGGAAATATTTAATTTAGTATAATAATTATGACTAAGAAAAGTCATCAGCATTAATGTGTCATGACTATCGACAGTCCAGATCAAAGGTTCCAGCATATACCTGTGCTGTAGTGTACTGTATAAAGAACACCAGCACCAGGACCTAACTAACAAGATCACTGTAACTGTCATCAATCAATAAAGATGTCCTTGACTGTTCATGTCCCGGTACTGCTGTTCTTCATACGACCCCGACCGTGTCTCGTGCGTTACAAGGTTTTTGGATGATAAAAAACATCGGTTACCTGAAGATGAAGATGTAAAGAGCACAACGTCGGCAGGTCAAAGGAGAATGTTTAGTGAACACAGCGAAAAATACATTTATGTGTAAAATATTATAGTGTAAAGTCAGATGTCTTGAATGTGTAGTTTCCTCAAGGGACTTTAGTAAACACGCCGTCTTAATGTTTGTGTAACACTGAGTGAACTATTTCATAAACCGGCAACAGTCAGTCGTGTCCGGATTATCGCACATTTGTCTCGCGTCATCACATCCGGTTTGATTTCTTCGATTTATCATCCACAAAACGACTCAGTATAACCAAATCAACCTATAACGTAAACCAGGCCTGGGACGATTCTGAAAACACGGCCAGTTTTAAGAAAATATATCCACCGGAAACCTAAGAAAATGTGACTCATTCACGTACAAATGTTAATAAAAATGATACTTTTTGTTATTTTCTGAGCACTACGAGTACAGTTCTTTAAACTTATGAATAAAAGACCCCACATTTTAAAATTTTCTCTACAAATTTTACTATAATAGTTAGATTGTAATGAAATACTGTTAAAAAAATAGCAATTGTCTTACTTTTCCCGTTGATGTAAGTAAAAGCTCCACTTGGTGTGATACTGACATACTGTTAACACTCTTTACGTGTTTGCAACTATTTCACGAGCAAAAGAGAACGACACTCCCACACACGCTGTATGACACTTACGTAATGCTAAGACTTTCCTTGAAGAACGTTTATATCAGCTGATTTCAAACACGATGATGCAATATCTATACGCGTGATTGACTGATAATGAACACCGGGCATATATCACGATTGAGTAAATATATTGTCATGTATATGCGCCCACTTTCAACACACTTTCATATTCATGGTCACAGTAGGTTTGGGGGAGTGAATAGTGACCTCACATAGAAGTACGTGGTAATAATTATCAAAGAACCGTGGTGCTGGCAGTGCTGTCGTCTGCTAGGCACAACCCGGGCATTTATAGGAGCCCCCAAAAGAGGTTGATAATAATAATTCGAATTCTGTCAATAACTAAAAAAATTTGTCTCTGAAAACATGTTAAATTTTGAATAATGTAATAAGACATATTATACGTATACAACGAGTTCTTAGAAATCTTCTCATTTGAGTTTTCGGAACATTTAAGAGTATTGATAATAATATTGTATTTTTTAACGATAGTAATAATATTTGCATTTTCATGGTTTAAAACACGTTGAATAAAGTAATAAATAATATCTAAATAAAAATATTGTAATCAGATCTAAGAAAGCTTTCCATTCCCCATCACTTTGTTTACATATGACGTCAGTATTGGCGGGAACTGTCAGGGGTAAGGTTGTGTGGATATATTTCCCCATAAACTAGTTATTTTGTATAATTTCCTTTTGGATTATCATTCAAAATTACTATTAAGGTATTTAGAAATGTTAGCAACATGGATTAAAGAGTTCAACCACCTTGTACTTGTAACAGAAGAGAAAGATATTAGAAACAACATTAATGCAACAATTAATTATGTTCACAAACGTTGTTGAGCGTCTCCATACAAATGGTTCAGTGAGACAAGACCGGTAAACCATGTATGGAAGATGACATGAGCTAAACTAACCCAACATCATCAGTTAAAGAACCTATGGTTATACTCTGGTGTATGGGATCACGTAAAAAATTTCCACCATATATTTCATCTCAAGATTACCCACCCTAATGCTAACCTAACTTTACCCCGAAACAGTGTTAGGGCGGTGAAATAAACTGTTGCTTTTGTACACATTTAATGTGATCTGGCAAATTAAAATTTATTTTGTTCTGTTTAAAAGGTGTTGACGTTCGGTGAGACTTGGGTCTGGGAGCTTTTCGAACTATCGGATTCGGTTACATTTTATAATTTATAATTGATAAAATGAACCAAACTCGCCTACCTAACCTAACCCAACCCAACGTAAAGTTAAGCTTGACCTAACTATTATTATAATAGGTTAGGTTAGTCTGGTGCACTTAATGAACAATAATTATATAACATCTGGATACAATAATTTGGAAAGTTACCCAATGTTAACAACGACATGAGATTTTATTCCCATTATATACATGATTACCTTTATTTTTACTCACCAACAGTTTTCTGCAATAAAACACACTCAGATGATTGTCTATTCCTATGACAGCCCAAATGTGATTTGTTGTAATACAGGGTATTTGAATATACAGTACTATTAATTTTGTACAGTACTGTACAGGCATCTCAAGTTACAAAGGATTGATTAATGAAACATTTTCTGGAACGGAACATGTACACGAATCAAGAGATGCCTGTACCTGTACAGTGTATTGCAATATTAACCCTTTGAAGGGCGAAGTATCCCTTACGTATTTTATTCTGGCTGACGCCAGCTGATTTTTATGCCAAGTTTATGCTAAGTTGTGAAATGCAATAATGTACAGACATCCCTGGATATACGTGTATTGTTTATGAATATGCATCCATTATACTGTACATTGTATAGAATATATTAATTATATAAATGTTAAGAAGTAGTCGAGTTTATTGCTATATAGTAGATGTAATGTACGTATATCATTAATCATAATAATGTATATTACAGGTTAATAATGGATGCAACTGAGATAGAGTTCTTGGCAGAGAAATTTCCCATTACTATAGTGCCAAACTTTGCTCAGGAGAAGTTGTACCTCATATCAGGAGATGTGGGGCCATTTAATCCAGGTGAGAACTTTTCTCGTCTTTTACAAAAGATTTTGTTAATCATGAAATAAATGCCGTGTTTAATTAGCTTTTTGCATCTAAGGATTACTGTACAGTACACTGTTGTTAATTAAGAACCTTTGCTACTCTGGCAAGAAAAAAAAAAGTGGTAATTGTCATTGTGCTGATGCTCATCCATATTTGTTAGAACAATGACTCAAACAAATAACTATGTACAGTATTAAGATGTAAAATATAGATGTATCACAAGATCTCAAGTAAATGTGATAAAATTTTCATATCCATATGAATATAGACATAATTCCTTGAGACTCGACATATTGTACACAGTGATGCAGAGAAATTTAAACATTATTTTTTCTAATTGGCTAGTATAAATAAATACAGAACATCTTTAATGTACAATTAAATAACATCTTGCCAGAAGTACATTAAAACAAAACATATTTTTTTTTTTTACATTATAAGGGATGGATCTGACTTATTTGCAGTATTATCTCACTTCAGAAACTTCTTGTAGGTTGTCCTCACAGAAGGAAGGACATTGGTACAGTGGCCAGTTGTTCCTCCTTTACAAGAGGGAGGGTTAGATACAAGTGTAGCTGCCATGCATTCCTCCTCTCTAATCTATGTAAAACCCAGATCATTAACTGACTGAAGTAAGGATGCTCCCAGATACCTGTGTCAGGACCTTATCATCTTCCGATGATAAGAAAAAAGAGTTATAACTAGAGTTTTGTTTATAAAATAAAGCACAGGAAAAAAATTGCCAAAAACATAAGTCACTCGATACAAAGGACAGGTACCTGACCTGAGGTTCTTGTGTTGGCAAATTAATAGTACCTGTGCAGTGAACTCTATTTAGTGGAGTGGTTCAGGTTGTGGCAGAGTGGTGTTAATCGAAGAAGCTTGGTTAGATGACAGGAAAAATGCATATCAGCAAATACTCACTGTGCTTAGTGTAGTGTACACTTCATTTTCTAACTTTGTACAGTACAGTACAGTACAGTACGTATATGCAAAAATACGTTTAATGGGATTGCATATAATGAGGACTGACTTTTTCTTTTGTGTTTACACTCATCTTTTTTAATTTTTTCAAACACCAGACAGTATCCTTCACCTGTCATCTTATTCCACATTACTGTAAGTCCTTCTGATCATCACACCAACTATTAAATAATCAGTCAAAGGTTTTGTTCATAACTTATGTCACCTCTTTCTCTAAGTATACTTATGAATATTTGTTTAAAGTGAGTGTTTGTAAGGAATATGCTTCTTTGTATATACAACCTCAAACAAAATTTCAAGTTAGGATGAACGGAAAGTTTTGGTATCTGCATTACTAAATCTGATTTTTACTCTGTACCTGTAGGTATACCCTTGGAGGTGCCAATGTGGTTGGGCATGAACCTTCGCCAGCGAGGAAAGTGTCGACTAGTTATACCTCCTTGGATGGATGCAGAGAAGCTGGCTGAGAAGAAAGAAGAAGAAAGCCAATCAAAGGTATACAGATGTTAATACTATTGATATCTTAGCTCCTAGATGGTCCAGGGTTAATGATAGTCAAACCTTTGTAACCTTAGCCAACTCCGTCTTTTGATTTTGGTGATACTGTACTACGAGTGTTTTTGTGAATGTCACCGTAAAAATCGTGTTAAAAGTCTCTTCTCACAAACAAATATTGAGATGATGCTGATTACTCTGCCATCTTCCGGCATGAGCATATTTTGTTAGTGCACGTCTTTGTCTTGCCAGTTAAGAGGGAGCTTAGAAGTTCTACTCTGTAAAATGGGTTTACCTGATGACAGTATGTAGCACTTGTCTCCACCTTTCACCCTACAACAGAGATTTTTCATGTTATTGAATAAGAATAAATATTTGCCGTAAGGAAGCAAATGAAAATATCCAAAACCTAATTGCCGCTTTTCTTGTAAGGACTTAATGTCTGAGTATGGGATAATGGTCGACCCAAGAGCCACCTAAGCGTGAATTCGCTTAAGGTGTAGAAGCTATCGCCAACACAACAACCACACCCTAAGTTAACGAGTTGCATGGCCCAGTGTCAAGGAATAGTCCAAGAAGACCGGACAACTCGCCAACTGTACTGGCTAAACATTACCCCGGAACACATGATCTGCAAATCGATTAACATCCAGGTTCCCAATTACTGCTGGGTAGACAGAGGCAAATGGCGTAAAGAAACTTGCCCATAGTTTCACTGTTTAAATGGAACCAAACAGGGTTAGAGTTAGTTAGGATTAGGAAATAAGAAAATTTATTCCTTTATAGTTTGAACTTTCCAACATTTTGTAACTTTAACACACTGTATGAACAAAAGATTTCTCTTATTCTTCACTAACCTCTCGCTCTACACTGCTTAGTTCCAAGGAATTGGAACATCCTGCAGTTGTTATTAACATAATCTGATTTACTTGCTAGGGCCAAATTTGGTATATTTTTTATCTATTTTTATCCCGACAGGTGTTCACAGAAATGCCATGTGAGCATTATCTGGTGGTTGCTCAGTTGCTGCTGTCAGCTGCCCCTGAGGATATTCCAAATTCTCAACAGGTCAAAACACTTGTCAAGGTAAGACATACCTTAATGTCCTGCTCCATACAAATTAACAATATAATGCCAAGCTTCACAATCAGGATTATTTTATGAAGTAATTGTATAGATTCTTTTATATGACACCAAATGAAGAGTTTTAAGTATGATTTTAGTTACAGCCACCATGCAGAACAGCAAATATTACTTTCTATTAAATTTTAGAAATGAAGTAATTGTTTTTGTACTACTTAATGCTTAGGTTAGTGTAAGAGACGGGATTAGTTTGAGACGGAAAAACAATCAAATACAGTTTTATGGATTGCAGTAATATATGATGTAGGTTATAAGTTTCAAAATGCCAAACACTGCATAAAATTTCCTTGAATGGATGTAAAAAATAATTTCTTCACTTACAGGACATGTGGGACCTCAGAATCTCCAAGCTACGATCATCTGTGGCAGAGTTCATCAAGATTGAAGGAACACATGCTAAGCTAGACCGACTCACATTGCTAGAAATCAACAGCATAAGACCGTTTCTCCCTCACGCCTTTGACCATCTTCACCGTCTCTCTAAGGCCGCTTACACCAGTAAACTCAGTCAAACACAGGAATTGTAGTGCATAGATTTTCTTAAATATATAGTGTACAGTATTACCTTCTTTTTTATGCTAAATATTGTAACTCCTTCTATATTTGCATAGTATTTATTCACCTCTAACCTAAACCCTGTTAGTTTTACCCTTGAACCAGGATTTAAGGCCATTTTATAAAAGTTACTCTTGATCATCAGGCATTTAACAGTGGGATGGGACACTTGCACAATAGTCTATCAGCATTAGACACTTTGTTGTCATTATATTGTTAATCATTGTCATTAGACACTTTGTTGTCATTATATTGTTAATCATTGTAAGTTTGTACTCTGCTATGTACAGTAGCCTTAGGTTATTTCACGAGATAGGAACTGAGAATGGTTATGTAAAAAATTCTTATATATACCCGGTAAATACATGTACAAATTATACAGGTAATCCAGTACAAATTAATGGGTTATAGAGTAGAAACCAAAATAATTTACTAAACAATGCTTAAAAGTATTAGAGTACAGTACTGTACTACCATTTTCTCATATATTGCAAGAATTTCTTTATTTCCCATGAAAAACTAGGATTTCCAATCGAGCACTGTGCTGTTACAACTTCCGCACACTTCCTCAGTCGTAATTACCCTCAATTTTAACACCTGTACCACTTACCAAGATGTCTAAATGCTCAGTGAGAATAAGTAGAGAAAGATGCTTAATTTAGAAGATAAATTAAAAACTGAGTTTCAGTGAAGTGCATCAGTTGTGACACACTGAAATGGTAAATGAAACTATGATTCACAGCATGAAACTGAAGACTCGCAAAGTTTGTGCATAATATGCACAGCCATCCATACCCAAGACCATCCAACATTTAAGATCACCACTGTAACAACAAATGGAGGATCCTTCAAAGGCTTGGATAGTAGGCATGTAAGGCTGCAATGAGCGGTCTAATGAAAATTCAAACTTGGTAGCTCAAGAGAGACGGCAAGTTAGTTACCTACTGACAGCAACTTCACTGCAAGTCCTGGTACTGGAAAGACTACATCACTTGTTGCAATTTTCTTCAATTTTGTACAACTCTTAATTTTCCATGGTGGTTTAGTCCAGTATGTAAATACTGTAATGTTAGGTAGCTGCTCCTTAAAAAAAAAAAAAAAAAAATGCCAAATAACCCAAGGTGACGGAATAAGAATGAAAAATACAAAAATATTTATATACAGTATTTTTCATACAACAGAATGGGGATAAAATATATGGGCTCCCCCCATGAATTTTATTGCAGAGTGAGATATTTACTTCACAAAAGGTTTAATTAACACAGGATGTGTCAGTATGCACAAAAATTACTCTTTTTCATATACAGTACAGTTGAGGGGGGTGCCTAAACTTCCCATTATGTAAGCTATTAGGAGTCCTTCATATAGGTTAATAATAATGAAATAATATTAATAAAATAAGAATCCAGTATTATTTCAGTTTCCTTTTATACGTCCCAAACCACAAAGAACGATTCACTAAGCCACACACATTTGTAAGAGATCAAGGAGACTGTTCATAAAAATCTAACATAAGACTCAGAAGATTTGTCCTGAAGCCTTTAATTAATTACCAACCTGTGTGGTTGAATTAAATAATTTTATTGATAAAAACAAAACAAAAAATACAGTACTTTTATATCAAATAACACCAAGGATTCATGAAATATACACACACAAAAGGTCAGGCACAGGTAGGACCCGTTGCCCTGCCAGTTACAAAGTGCCCTCGATTTGTTTTTCAATCATCAGTAACATGAGGGTAGGGCACCCACTAGCCATGAAAAAATAAGCCAGATCAGCCCTCAAAGGATGGTTCCCCTTTTTTGCAAAACTCAGCCCCCATCTGACATCCTGTGCACGGCCCTGCTAAAGGTTAATATTAGGTCAGTTTAGATCCCAAATTGTACAGTGCAGCTGGTAAGTCTGACCACCCCTTAGAATAAAGATAATGTTTATGAAATAATTATTTTATATATATTAAGACAGACTAACAAAAGGGTCAAATCAAAACCCTAATTGTCTGTTGGTCAGGGAGATATGATGACCAGCATCCTCTGCTCCCAAAGACCAAAAGGCTTCATGGCAGTAAATGCTACAAGTTGGTAAGACTTACATCCAGCATGACGAAAATGATTATCACAAGTGTTGTGCTATAAAAGACATTAAAGTCTGATAAATCACTACCGAAATGTAGCTCCGTTACTCCCATGCACAGATGGTAGGTGATGGTATGCACTCTATTGCCTCTCCACCCAGGGTAACTCGACTAATGTATGGTACATCATAACATCAACAACGGAATTATAACATTCCGATATCATAACGTTACTCACTTCCTAGGGGAAAAATGTCTGAGTGTCTCAGATTAAAGTAATTTTACCTTATGACACTCATGAGAATGACGGAAGGAAAATGAAAGAAAAGGCATAAATCGGGTATATAAAGCAAGAATTAAAAAAAAATAGTCTATACCGCGAGGAAGATCCACACATAAACCTAGTCGATAGTCGGTGACCTTTGGCAAGCTCTGCTGACATTTAGTTTTACGAGTTGTAACATATCCCTCCAAAGATTTCCTGAGTACCTTCTATACTTCCCTAGGCTGAAGGCATACCTCTGGTACCTGATTATCGGCAAGAAGAATTGCATACATATACTAGAGATCACCTTTATAGAAGGGGAGTGATTTTGCAACCAGTCACAAGGGTAGGAATAAGTTTCATGAGATTTTGATTGGCCGCCGAGTTTGTGGAATATCAATACTAGTTGAGCGATTCCAGTGGCTGACTGTGACTGTCGCGGCGAGGTAGTGAGTGTGGTGGTTGTGTGACTTGTGTTGTGGTTACCGTCTTCACAGGACACAGGTGAGCGACTCGTTAATGTAATACGGCCTTAGTTTTAATTTCTATAGTTACAAATTACCTTGAAATATAAGAACATTCAAAACAACCAATTGAATTACCAAAATAAATATTCTTTGTGTTTGTAAATTTACGTTGATTAGGTATAAAATTACGTTCAGTGACATTGTAGTGGATTCCTCCCCTACAAACGCTGTGTGTCGCTGACTGGCCGACCCCCCGCGAATCTACCAGGTATCCGTCGTGGTCACGGTCAGGTAACCAGTGACGCCGAACAAAGTGGGGGGCCAACCATCAAGCCACGCTTATCCCCCGCTATATAAGACCCCACCTGGCCGGCATCACTCTCTTTCTACTTACCGCCACAAGCAAGCAACATCTCTCAACAGCTCCACACCACACGCTCTCAGAAAGCTCCTCGCCCTACAGGAACTCTGAGCAAGCTTCGCCCGACCTGTATCTCTTTAACACGGTGCTGTGCAACAATATATATTACGGGAAACACATTGTGACTTTCTATTCTACCTCAATCCTGAGTGTTGGATATATTACATGTACGGACGTTGTGAGGCCAAATTAGAGACCCTGACAACCTGCCACAACATTCCTCTATCACCCATAGGTACAGGTAATTATGATTAACTGTTTGTTTATAAGTGAGGTTAAAAAAAATATATAATTCTATTTTGTGCATCGATATATCAATAAAGTGACTAAGCATTGCACTCCAAGACATTTGAATTGCTGTAAAAAAAAAGGGTCACTATATATAAGCACAGGAATAACAATGGAAGGAAATATAATTAACGCAATGTTACATACAAATGGGGCGATACGATTTCGAAAAAAATAAAAGCAAACTTATTTTGCAATGACGGATAATTCATTCACACTATTATGTAAGTTTAGATTTACTTCACATCAGGGGAGTCCTGGTCTGTTGGGGAAAGAAGCGAACAATAATATAGATTAGTTAATGTTCCACTGTAACGACCACGGTCATACACGTCAGTTAGCGCCAAAATCTAATGATTCATATTACGTTCAATAGCCCAAAAAACAAGTACCTCTGCTTTCGTTTGAGTCCTCCATCTGAGGAGTCCGTTTTCTCATCACTTCAAGACACCTCAGCCCTCCGTTATCCCATTTTCTCTGACTTATTGAAATCAACCTCTCTATAAAATGAATTTGAATGTGAGAGAGAACACCCTTGTTTTGAGTCAACTTAGATATGTCTGTTTACAGTTGGAACATTCAAGATCCATTGTGAGTGGTGTTGAACGCTTCAACTGTCCTTAGTGTTAGTAAGACGTGTCAAGAAAGTGAGTGTCGAGTTGGCCAGCTAGAGTGGCGTATTTTATGTCGTCCGTGGGGATACCCATGAGTTTCTGATCGCTACTGAAGTTATATTATTTTGTCACCCCGACATCAGAGAATCTGATGTTTATAGTTTAGTTAGTGTCAGTTGTCTAGAAAAGAAAGTCATTAATCTCCTGAACAGTTCCTGTCAAACTCAAAATTCTCCAAGACTTAACGGCCGTTTGACCTGGGATGTGGTTTGCGGTCAGGCCAATAGAGTTGCGAGCTCATATATAACTCCATTTCACCTCTTTACTGACAAACTCAATCTCTGATTAGATCATAAATATAGATGTAGAAAATTAGCCTGATCTGTGACACTGACGGTCACAGCTAGGTGTCCAACGTCTGCTTTGAATAGAGGGTCTATTGTTAGTAAAATTAGTCTTTCTAGTAGGGATATGCCCTCAGGCCCGTATATATATTCCGGCGCGTGAGGAAAGACTTTACCTTCATCTTTCTCCAAACAACCCTACGACTAGCTACATTTCCATTTTCACCTTCCCTGTTACTTTGACCGAGTGTGCCTGTGCCTCCGTCCACTTGCGTTTCTCTGCTTGAGCCACCGCCGTGGTGGGGCGGTTCTTCCTCCGCTTTGCCAACACTGCCTCAGCTAAGACGACATCCAGAGCACCCGCGTTGGCCCTTTGCCTGCCCGATCCTGCTCCCCCCCCCCTCTGCCTCGTCCTGATTGTGATTGTTACACCATCCGGGCACATTGCCTACCCCCTCACGCAAGCGGTGTTTAGCCACTGCACCTGTTCTCTCCTTCTAAAATTCACTTCTATCCTCCCTTTATCCTTCCCCTGAACCTCTTTCCCCCCTGTCACTAGCTTTTATTCGTTCATTCAAAAATCACTCTCTCTGTGATTTCTCCTCCACGTCTCCAGGTATGTTAACGGGTGTTCCGCGCCGCCATATTTATTCAGTTTAACTTAGTCAATTTTGTGAATATCAGTGTTCATGTTTTAACATAGTAACTCCCGTGCCAATTAAGTCGAGTAACGTAGCGATTTAGATATCGTCTGGACCGTTGCCAGACGTATGTTTGTTTAGTGAAGTTAAATATTCAATCCCTCTGTGATATCTCCTCCACGTCTCCAGACCCTGTTGGTGTGTGTTGGCAAACGACTGAGGTTCGGGAGCCGCCTATGGGCACGATGGCTCTCGAAGGATGTCTTTAAGGTGGCGAGATTAGAATCCCAGGGCAAGAGTATAAAATATATTTATAAATAAAGACGAAGAATAATAACAGAAAAGAATATCTGGATGGTAAATTATAAAATGAGAAGAACTCGGCCCGTTACACCACTACAATCCTCACGCTCACTATATTCTTTTTAATCTTTACTCAAATTATTTTAAGCTACGTCATACTATCATCATACTCACCTGTTCCATCCACGTTGATCTAACAAGAGAAGCTCCAAATATGTGTCGAACAGAAATCATAAACCTAAATGGATATAGAACTACCTGAATGGTCTTTTCACCATAACCTAACGTGAGACGTGTTGTTCGTGCTGCTATATACAGATATCATCGCGGGGCAACGTATAGGGGGAGTTCCTATTGCTTCATTAATTATTCTACTCTGGTCCATATCGGTGGAATGCGGCCCTGTACAACGTGGTGTATTTTAGTCTAGAGGTTAGGTTAAGTGGTACTGTTGGGGCCGTGTTAGGTTGGGTGCTACTGTGAGGACCATGTTAGGCTAGGTGGTACTGTTGGGGCCGTGTTATATTCGTTGGTACTAAGAAAGCCGTGTTAGGGTAGGTGCTAGTGTTGGGGCCGTGTTAGGAAGTACTGTTAGGGCCGTGTTAGGTTAGGAAGTACTGTGAGGGCCGTGTTAGGTTAGGAAGTACTGTTAGGGCCGTGTTAGGTTAGGAAGTACTGTTAGGGCCGTGTTAGGTTAGGAAGTAGTTAGGGCCGTGTTAGGTTAGGTGGTACTGTTGGGGCCGTGTTAGGTGGTACTGTTAGGGCCGTGTTAGGTTAGGTGGTACTGTTAGGGCCGTGTTAGGTTAGGTGGTACTGTTGGGGCCGTGTTAGGCTATCCATTGCGCGCGTTGTAATTGCCCTTTGTGTGTGTGGATCGATGAGTAAGCTTTATATGAGTATAAGCTGAGTATATAACATAGTTCACTGAGTAGAACATGTTCAGAGTATAACAGAACACGGACCCCTGAATATGACAACATGGACCACTGAATGTTTTTTTTTCTATAATAAAAGCCATGAGAGTCACAGGTCACAAGAACGATGAAATATTAATGAATCAACCCATGGCTTCACGCACTCCTCTCTGGGGCTGCAATGACACACACACACACACACACACACACACACACACACGCAGGCAGGTTGACACAAGATAGGTAGATATCAGATTAATAACATTTTATGCTAGTATATTTTGATTAGAGAAAGGATCTATACAGGTAATAAAACCTAATATTACAAACGCATGAAGTGACAAAAGGGGCGTGGTTTAGCGATCTCGAGAGTAGAGTTGCCAATTAGTGATTTCCTTTGGGCCTGCGTGAGGCTACCTGGTATCTAACCTACCTTGCGTTGACACACGTTAGTTACTTGGTGTCGATAAATATAAAAACATTAATATATTTTCTATATTTCTGGTAGAAAGGTTTGACCCAATTTATTTAAATTTTTATTAGATTTTTTTAATAAGTAATTAGGTTTACGGGAAATAGGTTTGAGTAGATTTTCAAATATCAAATCAGTTATCAAATCGCACAAATGTCACGATCTCTTTCCCTCCTCGCTTGCCCAGTCGTCTCTCGAAGGTTATCATCAGGTTTGAGCGCTTGGCCTGAATGCCTATTGCTCTCACGATAATAGTCAGCTGTTCCACACGTCCACATTACCCAGTGAGTTATTTTGTCTCCCCGAGGATAGTAGTCGTGCCTAGTTCATACTGGTTTCTCGCTTTAACTCTTGAATCTCAGCGTCTTGTTTATCTCACGGTAGTTCAAATATCCAAACAAAATGTATAATAACCAACATAGTAAAAGAGAGATGTATCTGCACACACACACACTTGTACAACCTATATAAAAATACGGAGGCGTGTGCTACTGATACCGGTTTCTCGTAGCATTACATACACTGCTCTGAAATATTCACAACTAATGCCTTGCCTTCAGGGTGAAAGTTAGTATAAGTTACTCCAACTCTCCCACGAAGACAGTGACCCCCCCCCCCATGTGGTGCAGCGATCATCGAGGTCATTAAACGATTCTGTTCCTCTGAGAGATTTTAGCACTAAGAATGGGATCCTCGTACCTGCAGTTTTAACAGGGTCTCACTCACTACTTTCTCAATTCACCTCACTCATATTACCCGACTCTCTCTCTCTCTCAGCAGGAACACCATGAGCGACAGGGTAGATGAGGTCCTGCTGCAACGGAGGAAGGTGTTCTGGGACCAGCAGGAGCCCTCCCTTCAGGCCATGATACAGACGGTCAGCTCCGATGGCCTGGCTGACGACGACGCCGACGAGATCATGGCCTACCTTCCCGACCTCACTGGCAAGAGGGTCGTAGATCTAGCCGCAGGGATAGGGTGAGTCAGAGAGAGAGAGAGAGATTTGAACCCAGCAAATCTTTACAACAAAGTAACCCTACCCCCACTCACTTCCACCTTCTACTACAGGAGGTTCACGACGCGGATGGCCAAGGTAGCGAGGCATGTGACGGCGGTGGACGTAGCTCAGGCCTTTATCATGGAGAACCGAGTCGCCAACCAACACCTCGGCAACATCTCCTTCATCTGCGACGATGTGGTCAAGTGAGTGTCCTAATCAGGGCTGTTTACCGGACCATATAGAGAGAAAAGTCCGCTATATCGAGGGTCCGTTATATAGGAAAACCTCCACTTAACGAACTACTCCGTGCTGTAGATATAGTCTTTTTCTCTTCTATTTTTAATTTATTTTTACTCTTATCTCCCCCCCCCCCAGGTCCCAGGTGAGCTATTCCCCGTAAAAAAAGAGAAGCTTTTATCACTGCATTTATATTTCTTCGTTTCTAAATGACATTAATTTTTCCAGCTTACTTTCAAGATTCCTAAAGTTGACGTTATCATCCTCAGCTCCAACTTCCTAAGCTGACGTCATTATCCCCAGCTTGGCCTTTCTCATCCTTAAAGCTGACATTACTCTCCCCAGCTTGGACCTCCTAAAGCTAGCATCACCCTCTACAGTCCATGACTTCTTCACCCTAAAATCTGACATCACCTTTCCCAGCTTGGACTTCCCGGCCGGCAGCTTGGACCTGGTATTCAGTAACTGGCTGCTTAAGTACCTTAGTGACGCCGAGATCACTCACTTCCTCACCCGGGCCCTCAAGTGGCTCTCCCCCGGCGGGTTTATCTTCTTCAGGGAGTCTTGCTACGGCTTGTTAGGTCAGTCACCCTCAGTAGTTTAGGTTAGGTCAGTTATCTCAGTAGATTAGGTTAGGTCAGTCACCCTCGGTAGTTTAGGTTAGATCAATCACCCTCAATAGTTTAGGTTAGGTCAGTTACCCTCAGTAGATTAAGTCAGGTCAGTCACCCTCAGTAGATTAGGTCAGGTCAATCACCTTAATATTTACGTAAAGTCACTGACCCCATTAGTTAGAACTGCTACCTCGCACTCAGGTAAGGCAGAGAGAGAGAGAGAGAGAGAGAGAGAGAGAGATAAAAAAGAAAGAGAAAAACGATAAATAATTAGATAGAATAAGAGAAGGAGAGAAGATATACAGAAAAAGATTAATATATAGATAACTTTCCTAACACTTCTATAAATCAAGTCATCCAACAACACAGTAAACTCATCTGGCGTCTCTCCCCTGGCAGGCACTGAGGAGCTGAACGGTAACCCCACTATGTACCGCTCCTCTCGTTACTACTGCGACAAGCTCACCGCCATACCCGCTCAGGACGACGAATCCGCCTTCACACTCGTTCGCGTCAAAAACATCCTCGCCTACATCAACGTTCGTATTAAGTATCCTTATTTTTTTTTCCTCTAGGTTCTATTTTTCCGTTTGTTGGACTTTACTGATATACATACGCTAAAAAAAAATATCCTTACGATTTTGTGTTAGGTAAGATGACATAACCGGACGAAGGATGATTTTGACAAGACTACCGAGACGACGGGCATTCGCTCTGTGTATTTTGAAATTCATCTGACCGCCCCTCCGTAAAGATGCTTTGTGTGTGTGTCTGTGAGTTTCGCTGATGTAGATTATAGAGTAAATTTTGAAGAGTAATTTAGACTATATTAACGAATCTTTTTGTTACGTCAAGGGAAAAAAATATATAGGTTTATCATTAATTATAGGGCATGTTATTATTCCTTTCAAGATCTTAAAAGAGGTGTGGTAAAATGGTATTAAGACTGAAAGAAAATGATGGAGGTTGGTAGAATAAGTGAATGAACTAGTACTGAAAGCAGCGGTGTCTCCTCCTCCCCTCACAGTACCAGAACGCTCCCAACCAAGTGTGTTTCCTGGCGAAGGTGTGCGGCGGGGACGGGATACCTCAGGAGCCACAGAAGCAGCAGTGTCGCCTCTCTCCTCTCAACGCCGCGGCCCTCCAGAAGGTGTTCAAGGGGCCGTGTGTCACAGTGGGCGGCGACGTCTCCACCAGGGTACGTGGCTGGGTGAACACTGGTTGTTTGTGTGTGTGTGTTTCTCCTGAGTTGGTGCCAGGTCAGGTCAACCTTGTAGGGAGAGGTCACCACTGTTTCTCATCACCAGGACTTCTGTGCTCGTCTTGGGTTAGGGCCGGGTCAGCGGGTACTGGACGTAGGCTGTGGTATGGGCGGGTCAGCCACCTTCATGGCCAGACACTATGGTGTTCACGTCCACGGCGTCGACCTCTCCTCCGACATGATCCACGAAGCCATCGAGCGACAAGTACAAGTTGACGAGGAAGTGAGGAAGAAGGTCAGTATAACTCTAGGGAATGTTTACAACCATTTTCAACTACACATCTGTAGTTCGGTCACGAGTACACACGCACACTGAAGTTCCTCGAATATGGTACAGTCTTTCATCTTTCTTACTCTCAGTGACACCTCCTGGCCCGAGACTTGTCATATACTTATATATATATCAACTCCCTCACCACACCGGAACGAAGAGACGTAGCGGGAGTGTGGTACATTACCTACACACGGTCAAAACGATCTTAAACTTATCCTCAATCAATGTATACACTAATCATTCTTCAGCTCCCACTACCAGCCACGTGCAGAGACCTTACATCAACACCTACAGACCGGCTACTGACTCTGTAATGCGTCTTTTTGAAAAGGGATGTAGACACTAAATATACAAATTTCACCACCACTTCCTCCCTCAGGCTACACAGTTACCACCCATTGTTCTGTATTTAACTGAGATATTTCACGTATTCTGGTGATTTTTGTCTACATTTCAATTCTGGTTAATGTTATTTTTTATCCCTACGTCACACATCACAGAGAGGACGGAAACACTCATTTTGTCTCTTCCTTCTCAGTTACACTTCGAGATGAGTCCTGACCTGGCAGTGGACTGTGACATCAACACCTACGATGTCATACACAGCCGGGAGACCTGTCATAACGTGTCAGAGAAGCAGCACCTCTTTGATAAGTTACTTGTAAGTTACGTTTGCTCGTCTGGCATAAGTTGCACCTAAGTTTGCTCACCTGTGAATGTGAACCCATTATCTGTCAACAATAAGATGGGGACGGTGTTGTGGACGAGTATTGTTGTCTGTAAATTAATCAGTCTTAATTCACCTAAGTTTTTGTAAACATTGAAGAAAAGGTGTTCCTATATCTTACTGTTATTCTTTCATATCAGTCATTGTTTTATGTACTGTATGTTAAGTCCGGTTGTCTGCTACTACTACTATTACAATTACTACTACTACTATTAATATACTGCTACTACTACGTGATGATCGACTGCTGTGTAGTGTGAAGCAGACGATCATGTAGTAGTAGTAGTAGTAACTGCATCTCCCTACAGCGGTGTGTGAAGCCGGGAGGGACCGTCTTCATCACCGACTACTGCCTCGGCTCCTCCCCGCCTTCCCAGCCCTTCCTCGCCCATACTCACGATATCGCACGTAAGTCTCCATTAACCTACACACACACTCCAGTCAGACGATAGTGATCAACATAAATACTGTACAATTATGTTAAGTTTGTAAATGTCATATCTAAATCTCTCAAGCGTCAAAGTCATCCATCAGTCACGTCAGGGAAGGCAGATACTGGGTTAATTTACAAAGCCAAATTTAGTGAACTTTACCCAAATGATTCTAAATCCCTAACTGGTTCTGTGATTGGCGACAACACGATTCATATGTATAATTTGAAGCCACAGTCACCTCTTGGATAGCAATAGAATAATCTGACCGATACGGACATCAGAATCACGGTGTAATAATTTTTCACGTGAATATTATTACGTTATTAATACGGAGGTTGTGAGGAATAATAACGCGCATCACAATATGAGTGAGTACAGTATGTCTGCTGCTCAAACGACAACATGAGCGTCTCTACAGTGTTATAATCCTACATACGGTTGTTACGTCTCCAGCATGTTACCTTGAGACGGTGGATTCCTACAGCGAGAAGATGAGGATGGCGGGTTTCAAGGGCGTGGTGGCCAAGGACCTGAGTCAGGAGCTGATCAAGGCCCTGCAGGATGAGCTGAGCATCCTGGTCACTACCTGCGGTGATACTGACGAAGATAAGATGAATCACAGTCAGGTCACCGCCCTCTGGAACTCCAAGGTGGGGAGGGGGGGGGGGCGCTCACCACTGTGTTGGGATCACTTGACTGTCTGATGCACCATTGGACCACTTGTGACGCACCACTTACATCACGATGCACCATTCACAAGATGAAGAAACAACGTGATTTTTTTTTGCTTGACTACAGATCTAAGCATCACATATCACCCCCAATGACAATGTTTACACGCAGCACTGAGAGATAATGCAGGTGGTGAAAATAATTGAGTGTTAATGAGGAGATGTACTGATAAATAACTATATTACAAGAGGGAAAACAGTATCTAATAATTCACTTTATAAAGACTTAAAGGCTCCCAGTAACTCCTACAGGATCTCTAGTCACTGATAACAATAATTGTCTTTTCAGCTCCAGTGGGTTAAAGACGGCTACCTCACGTGGTCTTCCTTTATGCTGACTAAGTAACTCGTCCTCCACACACGGGGGATGGAGGGCGACACTATAGATGTTGGAGGAGGAGGACCTTCTTCAGGCTCTTCTCCACACGTTGTAAGTAGAAACACTGTACCTCCTTCAAACACACGAAGGAGGACGACTTCCATCACACGTAGGCGGTGGACGACCCTCAAACACGAAAGATGTGGAGGACGACATTTTTGCAACAGAGCCAAGTGGACGACCATCACCAAACACACATTACAACACCCACTGCTATATTCCTTTTCGTAATATCAAAGGTTTAATTTACCCTTACATGAGGCAACGCACTTATTTATGGTAGCAAGTATGGTGGTTTCAATTCAATTCGGGCACCAGTTTTGTTTTTGTGAGTCGTATCGTGCGTCAGCCAGCTCCGTGTGGTTCAAAGTTCTCTCAGATACACGGGAAAAGTAAAGTACTGTACACGTGTCTCTGAGAATGAGAGCTCAGGTTTTGCGCACACTTACGGGTGGATGTTCTGTGGTTCTTAGGTGAGATTAGAAATAGGTGGAAGGATATTGAGATCACCAGAAGATTAACCATCCTAATCCTAACCTAAGTTGACCTAGTCCACCAGGTAGCGTGAGGGTATGTTAAGGTGAAATCAGCTGGGTGGACGAATCTTCAGGTGATCCAAAAATTTGTAGTTATTTTTTTGTGTAATTATAAGAGGCGAATATTGAATCAAAAACTGTAGAAATATATTGTTAGAACACAACATTGTCTTTTTATTCTTCAAATCACCGGTGTTTATGATATTACGTACTTTTGTTCATCCTGGAGGAAGAGTAAGGGTGATGTTCGTCCTGGGGAAAGTAACATACACTCGCCTCCTGTTTCAGGGGTCGGTGGTTCGATCCCCAGGCGCTCCCAGTTCATTCAGCTGTAAATGGGAAAGTAAAGGCGGTCGAGAGCAATACCGGCCAAGTTGATGCCTCCTTGTGTGCAGTGTGCTGTATCCACACTGTCCCTAACGGCCAGTCATGCTTATGGGAACCACTTTAACTTTCAATAACAGTGATTTTCTTCTCGAACTATTTTAAGAATAATCACTGTTTAATGAGTTGATTCAAGAAAAAAAATCAGTTTAATGATGTTAATTATTTAATCCAATATGAATACATAAATCATGGAACGAGATAGAGAGAATATACAGTAGACAGAATTCACGTTATCATTACTTTATAAATGTCGTACTATATCAGGGTTGATGGGACGGACTTACAGAACCGATGGAATATATAGCTAGGATTCCATTAACGCGTTTTCGTTTTCAATCGCTACAGGGAGCGATTGACACGTACTGCAAACGCATAATGCTAACGCAACCGATAACGCGTGAATGGAATCCTAGCTTAACGACCATTTGAAAACTCATTGACAAGCGGATATTATCCTTTTAAACATATTCTCTTATTCAATAATGGAAAATTGAAATTCGTTTATTACCCGACACAACAAGGTACTTATAGCATCATCAATAAATGTGTGGGAAGATGTGAAGTAAGAGGGTGTTCGCGCATGGCTGGAGTGTATTCGATGATGGTGTATTCCCGCGCGATGGCTGAGGACCGCCGACTGTTGGTTCAGCTGCTGTCTGGTCTGGACGCGCCGGTAGCCTAGTCCTCACCACCCCCCCCCCCCATCTAACTTACCCCTATTTCATATCCAAATTTAAGTTCAGTAAGTATTTACTATGTACCATACAGGGTGTGTGTAGATCTTCTGACGTATTTTAAAACGTAATAATCTCAAATATATTATAAATAGAACACGGTGCATAAGATAAGAATAAAACTTCAGGATTTACACATCATAGGAAAAATAGACACGCACCATCCATCAATTCGTGACTCGTGAAGGAAGCGCTTCATCAAGTTCTTATAGTCTGGTGTAACAGTGTTTAGTTATATACGTCACGGCTCTCCTCTCCTGACTGAAGCTGTACAGTTACCTTTGTCACAGCTTCTTTGAGAAACATGAAGGTGACATTACTATCATATGTCCTTGTACCACTCTGAACAGGTCTCATATTCCTGCGAGTGTATCTCTGTTGTACAAGTATTCACTGGCGGGTACAAAGACCTCGCTGATGTGCGTGGCGTTCTGTCATCCCAGGACCTATACCTCTCACGCAGATGTGTACTGTAAAACAAAGTGTGTGACCAGGCATATTACCTCACACTGCTGCATTCGCGCAATTGTGAACGTCACTTGAACAGAACTAAACACACAATGTATTTGAAATATTCTGTAACATCCAAAGCCACGTATCCTGAGCACTGGGGTCTGTTATAAACACCTTCCGTGACCTCTATTTTGGGGTGCACAATAAACAAGCCGCTGTACTGTGCAGTCCCCTTCACTAATGCGTTTACAGGGGCTCGTCAGGTCTTGTGCAGTGTGGCAACCTTGTGTTTGTTTGCACTCGACAGAAGAAAACTCGCAATAGTAAACATATATGGAATCAAATTAAAACAGCATTAAAACAAATATCTCAAAGATAATGATTTGTGAAGGGGACTGTATATAGCAAAATAAAAAACAAATCAATTATTCCCTGACTCTCCCTAATCAAATGAGCTTCCCGTTAGTTTTCCTATCCCTTATTAATCTCTCCTTTAGTGTCCACACATCCACTCAACTCCCAATATGTGGATTAAGTTTACAGCACTAACAACTTTCCTTTTAACCCCTTCAGTGCACAGTTAGGGTTGACATTCTGTGTATGCAAAAGACAGCCCAAAACAACTGCCTCCGTTTAGCCCATTTATTCACAACACTCACGGATCACCCGCCACTAAACACAAGGCCCACACAGTAATGTCGGTCTTCTGTGCATCCACCAATACTGGTCACATTACGTTATATCATTATTACAAACATATCGGGTACTATCAGTTGTTTCTTCCAAGTTGTAAACACGTGAGAGATGATCCACATGTAAACAATATGGACTAGAAAGCCTTTATAAGCTGGTGTTGCAGATGTAAACAAACTCTCTGGTCAGCAGCACTCTACTACCAGGACCCTTCCCCCCCCCCTGTGTTGACATTAATATATTTACACAATTGTCTCTCTCAGCCATCAACCTTTCCCCACAACTAAATCACCATACTCAATATACACCCGAATGATGCCATGTGTCATAAGTGGCAGTAGATGAATAGCTGACAATTTGTTTCAGATGATGATGTGGAGTGTGTTAATACATCATTACAGGGCACTAGTTGGGTTATGGTGTGTGTGTGTGTGGCAGGAGGGCTGGGTCGTGTGTACCTCTATAAGGGACTGACAAATAACCCTCTGAGAATATAATAATTTCCTTATACCTAATAATATATTAATGTCGTCTGACTTAATTATTATCAGTGTATGTCGGAGGAGGGAGGGGGAGTGTGTCAGTTGCCAATACACCGCTGGAAGCTGTTCGTGTGGATAAATGTAAACAAACGTGTGGATAAATGTAAACAAACGTGGATAAATGTAAACAAACGTATGCATGAATGTAAACAAACACCCAAATATAAAAGGCTAGTGTATCAATACCGCTCCCTCAAAAACACCCTTTAAAAATTCAATATTACGTCAATCACTGTCAACAACTATCAACAACGATCATTAAAGTACAGGTTCTTGAGGGACAGGTGACAGTAATAACCCCTCGAGTGTGTAGGAAGGTGAAGCACATTATCAAGACTCACTATTACAGCGCCAGGGCTAGAGACTCCCGCGGCCGCAATGATTTAAGGGACAGTTGCCATTCTTCATAAAGACCGTGAATGGACCGTACTGTATATAATACTTCAAAATCATTACTCAGCGCGGTGTAGCGAGTAATTTGGGTCCGTGTTAGTGAGAATTGATGGGGTGTGTATGTGTGTCGCTGGGAATTGATTACTTGGGAGTCTATATTGCTTTAGGTTTATAATTTAATCCAATCTAACCCATCCTAACCTTAACCTAGACATTGACCAACCCTAACCTAATCTACCCACACCTACCCTGTCCTACGCTAACCAACCTATATCTAGTCTACCCTAATCTTAACTTACATTAACCCAGGTCACCAGGTTAACTTGGCACCACCCCAGGTCACGTGTTACCATTCTAGGTCATCATGTGGACTAAGAAGACAGTCTTGACGATACTACTGGTGTATTGTACGTCCCCCGGGCCTTACCTCCGTGAGTAATGACATCCTTCATCTTTGTCTCTCTTCTCTCTCTCTCTGTCTGTCTGTCTGTCTGTCTCTTCTCTCTCTCTGTCTGTCTGTCTGTCTATCTCTTCTCTCTCTCTGTCTGTCTGTCTGTCTATCTCTTCTCTCTCTCTGTCTGTCTCTCTACAGTGAAACCTTATGCGAGTTATAAAGACAACTAACTAGCCATTCATACGCTCAAGGCTGACATATTTACCTATGTCAACTCATAGTGTCAGCCATGTGGGTCAAAGAGGGGAATTACTTGGTGAAATAAGCTGAGGGGATAAACTTCAGGTGATCTGTTGTGTGTATGTCTCAGGTCTGGGGGAGGCGGTGTTGGTGCTACGCTTCCAGGAGGACCGTGTGGCCACCAAGGACACCTACGCCTGGTACAAGCACGACCTAGACCCCTCCCGCGAGCTGTACTCTGTCACCCTCTGCACCAGGTTCTTCCTCTTCACCCTCCACGGTTGGGCCACCATCTTCGTCCTCGTCAGCCCCAGCGGAGATTTAACTATCCTTGAAGGAGGCGAGTGACCTCTGAGTGTCCTGACGATGAATGACACGACTTAACCCTCCACTGTATAACGTTTGTAGAATAGTGATCTTGGCCGTTTCTCTCCCAGTTAAGTAACTACTATTGCACACTATACTACACAACACAGCACTACTACACAACACTACATTACTATGACCAACTTGTGTAGTGTTACTTATTGATTACGTAAAACTTCTCAACACTGTGTACTGCATGATCCTTTACTTTAACTGTGTATGTATGACCAGTACAGAATCCACCACCTAAAGCTAACAGTGACTCATCTTTTCATAGTCTGTTTACGAAGATGAGTTGTATTCACTGCTTTCCCCACCCCTAGAAGTACTACCATGGTTACTAGCTCAATGACAAACAATATTTACTTATCGGTGTGAGTAACTTATGAGTGTAGGAACCATGATTCAGACTGACACAGGGTTGTTTCTTTTTCCCCCAGACGTGTGGGTGGAGAGGGTTAGACCTGTCCTTGCTCAAAACTGGAACTTTCAATTACTTAAAAAGAAGATGTGGGTGTTCAGGTGAGTTCCCCCTTTTGAGTGTGTGTAATAATAAATAATAATAATAATTAATTGACGGTGTGTGTGTGTGTGTGTGTGTGTGTGTGTGTGTGTGTGTGTGTGTGTGGGGTAGGAGTGAGTCGTCCATCAGTCAACAAACCTTTAACAGGGATAACGACTCGGGCTGACAGGATTACATCTGACCTTCTGTTTACATCCGTCGATAACGTAAAAAAAAAGTCTTAAATCTAACAGATACGTAAATTAAAAATAAGTCAAGGTGATTCACGCCCTGGTAACCCCACAATAATATTTTCAAATCTCTCTCCTACTCCCGTACCCGGAGCTATTTAGTAGGTACCGTTTTCTATGATGGTAGCTGTTACGTCATAAGTGAGCATTGCATTGTGTTGAAATATCACGTAAATATTATACAATACACATAAAAGCCAACACTTACGAGAGAGTGAAGCCGAGGTAAGGTCCGCCATATGCACACATAAGTTGCCGGGTACTTTCTGTAATAAAAAGACTGTATTATGTATCATCGTATTTCATCATTACAGTCCTGAAGGTAATTTATTTAATCGATTTATATGAGAATACTACATCGACTACACTGGAATCTTACTGTAATCACCCTGCCTGTCTGTCCATCAACAATTCCTTTTCCGTTTTGAAGTTTATAAAGGGGTCATACCTATAAGGCTCAGAGCTGGTATGACTCTGATGCTGCTCTTGTGTGTGTGTCTACGGGAATAAAAAAATATCAGTGTCACACCAAATTAAATGTGGACAGAAAATTCAGATATGTTGGGATGACGTTTGAAGACACTGGTTTTACACACACACACACACACACACACACACAAATGGGTTGTATTCAATGTCAATGTTCAAAACCCATTACCATTTAATCTTAGTAACTATCTTTACAACATTAAATCACAGTTTATCTCATGAAATTCAAAACACCATCACAAATACAGTAGTTATATCACGGCATGGGAACTCGGATGCAGGGATTCGATAATAACAACAATATGTCATTCCTTAGCACCAATATTCTTATGATCTTGTTATTGTACTTAAATGAAGGAGTTTTCCGTGTTAGGATATATAATGGAGTATTCAACTACGGCCTGGAGAGTATATATAAAAAAATCAGTTGATATTTCCGGTGTGTAAGATCAAAGTCGTGGTATAGATCAGTGAGGGTTATTAATGTAAAGAATTGAATTATGTAAATGTATAAATAAGGAAGGGGCATATAAAGAACTTAGGAATATAGAGATAAACATAGAATAAATGCTAAGTATAAATAAGACATTCGTGGTATAATTATTGGTAGTTTAATTGTCATGTGTCGATGGAAAGCGGCTGGGCAACAGTACAGGTAATAGTATCGTGTACTAATGGTAACGGGGAGAGTCTGCGGGCGTTGGGTGTGGTAATGGCGTCTCTTCTTATTGAACTGTCGATTGATATTGAAGACCACAGTAATTGTCCAAAGTGGAGTGTGTAATATTAACGAGCCGTACAAATCAATGGGTGTAAATTACATATGAAGGAGTTTCATGACTTGTGGCTCTTCCTGCCGCGACTCGCAATCTGACGACGAAGCTTCCTGTCATTATCCAAACACTCGGTGGCCTGACCTTCATGTGAATACCATAAGTCTTTCTATATATATATATATATATGTGTGTGTGTGTGTGTGTGTGTAGGGGCGGGCAAGTTCTTATTACAGTAATCAAATAATTATAAATAAACTCGAGTATAACTAGTAACGTCACCTACAGATGGCACCACCTATGCTTCACCTACGACCATAAGCGGCACCTGATCAGCACCTACGTGGACGGGAGCCTCAATAACCACCAGGAGTACGACATTATCCGCACCATGTCGGCAGCGCGGGCGAGGCTGGGCCAGGGCTACACCCCGGAAAGGAGCTTCAGTGGAGACCTTACCCAGGTCAATCCCACTACGCCCCCCCCCCCTCTCACTTTATCTGTTGCCTCCAGTTCCTTCTTCCTATTACTATTATTATTAGTAGCAAGAGTAGCAGCAGTAGATAAGTAGCCTAAACACGAGAGAACTAATAAAACAAGGAATCATAAATAAAGCGGAGAATAATGAAACTTCCGGACATATAAATGTTCAGTACAGGCCAAAAGTAAGGCAGGTGTGAGGGTGACTTGGGCGCAGGTAAACAGGTGTACTGAGTGAAGTGTTCAGTGCCATCCAACACCTAAACTTCTCTTTGTAACTGTATAAAAGACGACAAAGAACATAAAATGAAAGACAAAAACAGAACACACACCTACAATATTTGACCGATAGAAACATGTTCATTTTTACTATCTTGAAAAACAGTATAATAAAACTATGGCGATTTAGTAGTCTCATGATTACGATTATCCTCGTCAGTTTATTATACCCGGTCGGTCAGTTCCTTGTTGACAGGACTAGGTGTGCATGGTTGCTGTAGCCTGTATGGAGATAAAGGAGTTTTTCACTTGGTGCTCACATAACGATCTCTCAGAGTTCATTATTTTCATTCCTAATATGTTTGTACTGACATTTTTGTTTGTTTGTAGCTTCCTTAGTTTGAGGCTGACCTCTAGGGCCTTGTACGTCTTTTATCAATCTTCTCTTGCTCTTCTGTAAGTATAAAATGGTCAACTGTAAACGGTGTATAGTCTCTTGGTAAGTGAAATGCTCCCCTCATGCCATATTGGATGATTAAAAGAAAACCTATACTACAGGTCAACGTCTGGGATAAACCACTTAGCGCGGAGGAGATACAGAGCCTTGCAGAGTGTAGGAGCAACCTACAAGGGAACTACGTCGCGTGGGAGGAAGGCTGGATCCTGCATAACGTCACCAGCTACGAGGTACCTTTGGCGCATCTCTGTGACCGTGATCTGGGTCCAACATATTTCTGGTTTCCTGCGGGTCAGTATCCCTTAGTTCAGTACTTGTGTCCGGCACTGGGGTCTCGCCTACCCAGGACTTTTGGGGAGGCGTTTGCTATGCTTGAAGTGGGAGAAAGAAAGTTTAAAGAGAGTGACAACTGCTACACGGACTACTGGCTGGAGGTCAACGACATAGAGGAAGAAGGAGTGTGGAAGGCAGGCGACGACCCAGTGGACATGAGCACCATCGGCTGGAGCAGACAAGAACCAAACGGATTACAATACGAAAACTGCGCTGCAGTAACTAAAGGAGGAGTATCTGACATTGACTGCAGCACAAACACGAAGTGCATTGCTTGTTTTTTCGAAGAACAACAAAGATTCTCTCTTCAAGGTACATGTGAGACAGAACTGCGTAATTTTTACTTGACAGCATTCCAGTATACAACGGGCGAGATAGACTTTGTAGGCTACGGGGCGTACTACATCAAGAAAGTAGAAGGGGTATGGACGTGGACTAACGCGGTCACCAACCAAACAATTGCTCGCATGGAAGAAACTATTCCAAACTTCCCGATGGGCCGACGGTGGTGGCGACTGAACCAACTGGTGTGTGGCCAGAAACCCGGGGGGCGGCGACGACTCCTGCTCTCACCTTGCCTGCCTGACCAATTTACCTGTGATGACGCCACCTGTATACCTCTCCTTAATCGCTGTGACCTCAAATACGACTGTCGTGACAACAGTGATGAGGTAGAATGTGAGCTGGTGGCCTTCCCTCAGGACTACCAGAACCACCTACCACCCAGGGCCGGTGGCAGGGGGGAAAAGAGTTTAGCGATAGTTCTCACCATAAACGTGGAGTTCTTGTCTGTCAAGACTATGGGGATGACCATGGAAATATCGCATGAGTTCGGCTTATCCTGGATAGACAATAGACTGCTCTACCAAAACCTGAAAGAGGATAACACAATGAACAGCCTGCCAGCCGCCACCATGATGAAGCTGTGGACGCCGCAGGTGAGCTTCGTCAACACCAAAAACAATGAGCGCACCCTCATAGACGCTGAGACTACCATGGTAGTGCACCGCCGCGCTGATGCTATCGGCAGAGACAAAACCGCCCCTGCTGAGGGTAAGCCTTCACTCTTTACACAACAACAAACATAACATAACCCGCACATGTCACGGATCAATCTCAGCCATTACCCTGTAACGAACTGCACAAGAATCTTAAATTACTGAAGTTACAACACTACTCACTTCCTTTCACATGGCAATATTCCTTCACCTGTGAATAATTTCTCTTCTTGTGTTAGTGGACATCTTCTCGGGGGACAAGAACGCTCTGAGCACGAGGAGGAAGTACGGTACAGTGTTCATGTGTGACCTTGACCTCGCCCTCTACCCCTTCGACGCCCAGGAGTGTTACATGCGTCTCAGGATCAGCTCGGCCTCCAAGTCCTTCCTCGAGTTTGACACTATCGAGTCCTCCGTTAATTCCACGGCCAACAAACTTCTCCTGGAGTATGAGGTGAGTGGAGGAGGCTGAACGCACACACATACACACGCAAACACTTATATACATTCACACACATTATATATATATATATATATATATATATATATATATATATATATATATATATATATATATATATATGTGTGTGTGTGTATCTTTTATTATGGCTACAGCATAGCCTAAGCAGATTTAACTAATAAGTTGTGGTAACAAAATACTGTGCTGTATTGTACCACCTATTAGCATTCTTAATGGCACTACCTATAATAGTTCCACTGAGGACTTGTTTTGTTCCCTTAACCATTTTGCCAATGTTATGGATTTTGCAGAGAATGGATCTTTTCGAATTTATTTTGTTTACGTCTTAAGATTTATGATTATCGTCTAGAATAATGGATGTACAGTAGATTAAGAACATTAGTTTCTTTACGTTAATATTCAGTGCCTGTCCGTGGAGATTAATTTCATACTATTATTGGAACGTCAATGAGCAATGGATTATTATTGGTTTGAGAGTGAGTGGTAGACACTTAAGTTCATCGTTATTTTATTCTTGTTGTTGTGTTCTCTCGTCTCTACCGCGGTGCTGGACGGAAGGACGCTGACGATAATCATGTTATCACAGCGCTTCAACAACTAGAGAATCTTTAAGCGTGTTGACTCTGCCTCCCTCAGGTGGGCGAACTGTTCCTGCAGCACGGAGAGGCGGGGATGTTCAGCGAGGTGATGGTTCGGATCCCACTGACGAGACGCTACGGATACGCCATCCTCAACATCTACATCCCCACGCTGGTGTTACTCGTCGTTAGCTACGTAACCCTCTTCTTCAGGCCGGCCATCTTCGACACCAGGATGATGTCTGCCTTGACCGTACAGCTGGTGATTGCTACCTTGTTCTCACAGGTGGGTTAGGGAAGGATTAATACAGGTGGTTGAGGTTAATATAGATGGATGAGGTTAATATAGATGGATGAGGTTAATACAGGTGGTTGAGGTTAATATAGATGGATGAGGTTAATACAGGTGGTTGAGGTTAATATAGATGGATGAGGTTAATATAGATGGATGAGATTAATACAGGTGGTTGAGGTTAATATAGATGGATGAGGTTAATATAGATGGATGAGGTTAATACAGGTGGTTGAGATCAATAAATTTATTGGGGTTGAGTTTGGCGGTTGACTAGGGATTTGGGGATGGAGTCGACTGAAATTTTCTCCCCTAAAATTTCAATTCTTTCAGAAAAAAAACAGAGGTTCACACACATACATGCACAAATTACTGTCATACACAATAACTCGGCCGTTCATCTTATTTGGTGATTAAAAACAAAACAAAAACACGGAATTACGTCTAATTTCACCAGTAAATGACCCCCATACACTTAGCGGTTCGTTTCACGCTAATGTAGTTTATCCTAATCTCCCCAACCTGTTTCTGCAATGAGAAATACGGCACTTTTCCCTTATATCCAGCATTTTTTTTTTAAGATTTATTAATTTTTTTAACTAACCTAACCGAGGTTGTTAGGTTAGGATAATTAAAAAAAAAAACTTACGATGTTATTTTCAGTATAACGGAATTTCAGAAATACTAAAGCTATTTTGTAAACAAGAGTGCAGTAGTAGGTGTCTTGAACTATTGTTTTATCACTTTCGTCACGCAAATACAGTACGTACGACACCACTGCAACAGTTGTAGATGGTGCTTCAGTTCAACACTCGCCCAAGTCACCCAACCCCAGCAACACAATAAGAATAACCCGAGATGTGTTAATATTATGTACTTACTTAATAGACTCGAAGTGTTCTCTGTAAGATGTCTTGACAACTGCACCAAACCATTCCCGAAACCACTGCTCGGCTCGTTAGCTGCTTGGGGGGTCGGTCACGTCTGTTTTACACTTATGAAAGTACTGTCTCCAGAATGTACTGTATATAATTATGTAGTACCTGCGCCGGTGTTGGTTAAGTCTGGTCTTTAATGGGCTCACACTTGGTATCGTCACAACACACTGGCAGATTGTTCCAAGAGTTCACAACCCTAACACCTGTCTTCCCGCCAAGTGACAACTGACGGTCTCCGCCTCGCCGGGTCATGGGTCAGCTGTTCCCACAATGGTCAAATTAAATCCTCTATTATTGATTGTATCACTTAGCAAATACATAAAATTCACGAGTGTATCTTTCTCGGGGAATGATACAAAAATAATGCAATTTGATAAGCTTAAAAATTTTACACTCTTAAGTATTTTATAATTTACTTACAATGCATTCTTGACTTTCCATTGTAAAAAAAATGTCCTCACAAATTTGGTATATATATATATATATATATATATATATATATATATATATATATATATATATATATATATATATATATATATATATAGAGAGAGAGAGAGAGAGAGAGAGTTTGAAAATTTAATGAAATAACGCAACTGCATCATTGTGTAGAGCCATATACAGTACAGTATATAAAATTACCCAAAAATCTACGGTTGTATCACTCCAATCTCACTATCATTACTTCAACATCTTTCATGTGTTGTAGCTAGCAAACCATACTCATATTTTGACATGGGTTTAACTGTTATACATTGCAGCTTAGAATAATTGTCCCAGGAATACACCCAGCAGATTAATTCACAAAGTTTTACAGGTAGGGAGATGTTCATTGTCATGTGGAAGAGAGTAGCAGTGTTACATAAGAACCTAAGAACACAAGAATGGAGGAAACTGCAGCGGGCCTATTGGCCCATACTGGGCAGTCCCGTTTACACCCAACCCCTATTGCTCATATGAGCATCCAACCTATGCTGTTGAGATTGTCGGACCGTAGTCCGACACGGGCCTTTGCCTATAGGCGGCCCGTTTGGTGGTTCCGGCTGGAGCTCCTGAAGCAGCCAGACCGGATTGGGATTGGAGGTGGTCCTACCTGCAGATTTGGAAGGATACTGCAGGTTGCAAGTGTGAGCGGACCCCCGATCAGTGGACGCTTACCACCAACCCCCACTCTTGGACGTGGTCAGTTTCGGAGTGGCGCACCCCCCAAACTGGGGTCCGCACTTGCTGGGAGAGGATACTTTCTAAGCTATCTGGGTGGTGGGTATCGTGTGATGACCCGGAGTAGGTGGTGAATGTGGTTTGTTTGGGCCTTTCGGGTTAGAGTGGCCGCTGGTGTTGTGTGTTCTTCTTGGGAGACTTGAGTTCTGTTTCGGAGGCTTTGTGTGACTTCGCAGTCGAGGAGATAGTGTTCAAGTGGGTTGGCTGCTGGCTCCTGGCAGTAGGTGCATTTCATGACGTCATTTCCGATCATCTGCCAGGAGCACTTGTACCCTAGTCGTAGTCGATGAAGGCTGACTTGGGTTTGTCTTGGTGTTTTCTTGTCCACGAAAGGTGGTTCCCCTTTTGTAGCCGCCAGGTACCATTTGGCTGATGAGAGGAGCAGGGAGGGATGTGTGCACTTACAATAACCACTTATAACCCACAAACTTAATTCTGTCCCTGTCCTGTTAATGAGGTAAATCTCACCCAGGTCTCTGCCTCGCTGCCCAAGACGTCCTACTTCAAGATGGTGGACGTGTGGCTTATCTTCTGCATCGGCCTCACCTTCCTCACCATCATCTTCCATGTTCTGGTGGACTACATGGTGAATCAGACGAAGGTAGCGGACAAGGAACAACCCGGGAAGGCGTTCGTCAACACCATCACAGTGTCTCCAGTCGGAAGTGGAGGTGGCTTCGTTAGCTCAAACAGAAATGGCCAACGGATGGTGATGGCGACCAGAGTCATAGTGGCCGGGGTGTTTATTATTTTCAACCTCTGCTACTGGGTCTATATATGCACTTAGTTGAGTGATGCCGACTATTACATTACTTCATCACATAACAGGTTGATTAACAAAGGCTTCAGCTTGTGTGACTGGAGGTATTATATACATCATCAGTTTAGTGATCCTTGGCTTCCCTGACTTCTTTGGCTGGGTGCAAAAATGGCCAATGTTTATTTTAGATCAAGGGATGACTAATGTTCCATATCTTAAAAGCTACAAGTTATATGTAAGAGATAAATGTATGTATGTTAAGGGGTCCACTGATGAGGGGCAGAAATAAATTAAATGGATTGTTCACATATATGGTAGCCCAGGAGTGCACTTGTGACCAGCAGTAGTCTAGTAAGTGCAGGATCTGGTTGAGCCAACAGAAACGATAAACCCATCAAATCTTATGATATTAGGAAGAGTAATCATACATTATAAATGAGAAGATTATAGATCAACTCACAGTACAGTAATTTTGAGTGTGTTTTCTTTTCAGTTGAGGGTGAACACTTTTGAGGGCTTCTTCACAAATTCTAGAAATGAAGTGCTGAGTTGTGATGATAATCCGAGACAGTTGTGACCCGAGACGTAGAACAACGATGTACAGTACATTCAGATAGATTGAGCTCCTGATGATAAAGTAGTGATAATAACAAGGCACATCTGATTCCTAATACAGTATAAAAGTAACTTCAGTTTTGTGGGTAAAGTATAAAAGAATGAACCCAGTCATTCAATTCTATGGTTACATGTGGGGGGGGGGGGGAAATAACTAAATAATAATGATTACCACCATTCCACTTTTTGTCCGGCCCCATTCTTCAAACTTTACCCCTAATGCCATGTCCCGGCCACCATCTCAAACAAATGAAAATTTTGTCACCTAAGGAGCCATCATAACCAACTTCTCTCTTCTTGAAAACTTCACCCACTGACAACTATTTAAATTCAAAGGTTAAGTTACTTTTACTGTATTTAGAGTGATGATCTTGATTAGCTTGAACAGTACACACTTGCAATCCCTAGTGGCCATCACTTGACAGATTAAAGAAAACTCAATGCACTTATTTCATTTGGTTTTACTTTTTTCTCCTGACATAACAAGACAATAACTAACACACTTCACAAACCCACCTTTTACGCTCAAATAATTGACTGTAAACTGTACAGCATACATTATTTCAGTGTTCTTTTTCAATGTTCATTACAGGTATGAACATTTGTCACTTGCATAACATTTCGTGATACAACTAAAGGAAATATTTGTACTATTTATCATACTTCACTTCTGCAATTATCTTAGAAACATGTTAACTTTAGGATTCCGCCCAATCGTATTTCTCATTTTTTTTTGTAAATGTTGCATATATGAATTTCATATTACAAGGAAATATTTTTTATCTTTGTACAATAGCAGGAAATTCTAACAGCACCATAAACTTGCTTTGGCATTTTACAACCAATAACTGTCTTGGTACAAGTGAAGAAACTCCTTGTCATTTAGTGTGTAGCTGTGAATAATCGTCACACACACTCGTGACTTGTATTTAATTGGTCAACAAAAGTTTGACCACTTCTGCTAGTGCTTTCTACTATTAAGATTTAAATGTTCTATATTCTTAGTCATTAGTGGCATGTCACAGTATTAACATTAGTGAATTTCCAGTACAGTATTATTAATTTACAGTTCAATATTGGTTTGTTATGAACAAGAAAGACATACTCAATTTTATATGATCATAATTAATCAATTATCACAAATCCAACAAGTAGTTACAAAAAGTCTTAATACCAACTTGTTTTTAAGGGAAACACTTATTTATACTTTCTTATGTATTTTCTACTTTTGCATTTTCCTTACCGGTACCTTCAAATGTAGAGCTTATCACTACGTACAGTATTCTGTTTCCCTGGTAATTACACTTCACTGTATGTAGTAGATTCTCTTGACATTCAGTAAACATATTCTCCATCCAGTACCTCTTCCTCCTTACAAATATAATTAAATTGTTGTTGTTGTACATCTCCATCACTTTCTACTTCCTTGAAATCCCCAATACCGTCTGATCCTTCCTTCATGAGCAACGTACACAACTGGTTTCCTGGCTGTGTAGACAATATGCCATGCATTTCTAAATCCTCATTGTTCACCACTTCATTTTTGACAGATTTTTCCACCATGAACACAACATTGTCCGCACTACCTTTCTTTGTATTTTTGTGTTTTTTCTTTATGGATTCAAAACTGTTTCTGTCCTCCACCTTGGCACTTAAAACTGTTTCTGTATTTATCTCTAAATATACAGCTCTATTCAGGTCGTCTTTCTCTAAACACACATCACTTGCTTCTTCTTCCTTTATAATACTGCACAGGTTATCTTGTCTTGTATAAACATTATTCATTAATTCTTTCTGAACATCCACATTATTATTAATATTTTCTTCCTTTAATGCTTTGCCAAATAACCACCCAGAACCAGCTTCCCCGGCAGTGGGTGCGGCCGAGTCATGCTTCTCCAATACCTCTTTCTGCAACAGAATATAACATGTTAATTCAGTTTAGAGATAATAGATGAAAAATGTTCAACCAAAACAAACCGAAAATAATTTAGGTAAATATTTAATAGTGTAAAAACATAGAACAGGGCAGAGTGAGGTGGTCCTGGTTGTAATGGTGCAGCAGAAACTACCTTCACGATCAGTTTTACTCACTACGTAAATCTTTCATAATATTGTATCCCATATTTCCTTATCACCCTGAAGACTTTTGGTTTGGGAATATGATCCCTTTGCAAGTCAAAGGTCTTAAAAAGGATTAATATTGTAATTCTACTTTTGACCATGACTGTACACTAAATAATCATTATCATAAAATATGCTCAGTAAAACAATGTTGGGCACTATGACAACATAAGTTGTATTCATATAAAAGATATTCATATTTTCTTATTTTTAAACCCTTCACTATGGGGATACCACTTCTGGTATTTTATTTGGGTAATGGCAGACGATTTTATTCAACAAAGAGTGGGCCCCAGACTCAAGCAGTTAATAAAACAGTATATATATTCATGGTCTTGTTTTAGGATATTTATACAGTACAGTACCTGGTACCATTAATGTCCTCATATCAAATTTTAGGTTTAAGTTAAATGTGGAAAGAATAAGTACAGTACTATCCTACAGGAGAAAATAAAACTGAATGTAACAAATCCAGTACATGTTTGTTGAGTTTGAGACTGATGTGTAATCTCATTGAGACAAACAGGGTTTTGACATAATTTTTCAGATGACTTCCTTTATTATTAAATTTACATTCTAGTAATTCAATACAATGCATTTCTTTTCAAGAGGACAATAAAAAATGGTACTGTACTGAACTTACACATTTCTCTGCCTTTGTTGTGTAAGTGTGCTCCAAACTCTTGATACTGGTTTTCTGTTTTGTTGTGACAACCTTCAACCTTTGGTCTTTAGTTCTATGTTTCTTCTTTGTTGATGCTTCTTGCTGGCTCACAGGTGTCGTTGCTCCTTGGACATAATGAAAAACAAAACTGCTATACTGTAATTTTCAAATAATGCAATGACACAAAAAATGAAGCACCTACACATGGAATCACCTAAACTATTGAGTTTTTTAGTACCCACAATAAATACAATAGGGTCTCACAGTATATGTATCCATAGAATGCGACTCAACCCATTCGTGTCTGACCCCCTGAACCACCCTTACACTTGAGTCTCGCCCTTGTGTGAGCCAATCAACCCACCATCTCTTGCTAGCACATTGTGTTTATTACTCATCTGTATTCGTTTGACAAAAATCAAATCAAATAATTGCAATGTTCTAATGTGGCTTAAAAATAAAGAATATATAATCTAGAACTATAAAATAAGAAAAATGAAGAGTACAGGTATAGGTGTGTATGTATGGGATGTGAACTTTTGTGTGTGGGGGCAGTGAGCTGTAACTGAGTAAAAACAGCTCACCAGTCTGCTCTCCCTCCCTCTGGTGTGAGTCAGCTGGGTGACAACCCAACTAAGTGGGTGAAATGTATCACATTGCCCAGAGGATGGTGTAAGTGTGGAAGGGGCTATTCTTTGTACATAAAATAATATATACGCACTGTACCTGTAAATATTGTTTTTTGATGTTTACGGCACATCTTCTCTTTATGCAGCTCATTGTAGCAACTGAGGCCATTACGAACTGCTCTTGCAACTTTAAGGCTACGTTCACGATTGGGATCATTAGCAGCAAAGATTTGCAAACCTTCCTCAATAAGTGCAAACCCTTTAGCCATTTGCTTTGTAGTCAACTGAAGTGGGGTGGGTGGAGCTTCTGTAGCCTCCTCTTCTCCTGCAGCTCGCTCTTGTTCCAACAGCATCAGATCCTCATTAGACAGATCTCCTCTATGGGACTGTAACAACTCAACCACATCATCTTCTATGACTTCTGCAAAGCCTACATCATTTGCAAGTGTCACAATGTCTTGTTGAATTTGATGTATACTTTCTGCTTGTGGGAAACTGTGAAAGTCGTGAGTACACTCTGGCCAAATGTTTTTCCAAACACCATTCATAACTGATGGTGTCACTTCATCCCACGACTCTGCTATGTTCTCCGCCGCATCCATGATGTTGAACTTTCTCCAGAAGTCCCTAACTGTAGGTTTATCCTCCCCATCAATTGCTTTTAAGAGTTGTTTAAAAGTTCTTCTTAGATAATATGCCTTGAATTTTGTGATCACACCTTGATTCATTGGCTGGAGCAAGGCAGTTGTGTTCTTGGGGATATACTCCACTCTCACATGATTAGAAAGATCATTCAAGTTCACTGGGTGGCTTGGTGCATTGTCTAAGAGGAGCAATGCTTTGTTGGATATATTATGCTTGTCACTATACCTTTCAACAGCAGGGCAAAAATAATTTGTGAACCAGTCTTGAAAAAGACCTATAGTCATCCAAGCCTTCTTATTTGAACGCCAAATCACAAGTAAATTAGACTTGGCATAGCCCTTGAAAGCCCTTGGATTTTCAGAGTGATACACAAGTAGGGGCTTTAATTTCATATCACCAGCAGCGTTTCCTCCCAAAAGAACTGTTAGATGATCTTTTGAAGCTTTAAAACCTGATGCAGACTTTTCTTCCTTACAAATAAATGTCGTAGCAGGCAAGCGCTTCCAATAAAGTTCAGTTTCATCCACGTTGTACACTTGTTCTGGTGTGTAGCCTCCTTCATCAATAATTTTCTTCAGCTCGTCAGGATATTTACGTGTGGCTTCTGTATCAGGACTGGCAGCTTCACAAATCGTCTTAATGGCGTGCAAATTATGGCGCTTCTTAAACCTTTCAAACCAGCCTTTACTAGCCTGAAAATGTTTTGCTTCAGAAGTTGCATCTTCCTTTTTCTGTAAATCATTATACAAACTTTTTGCCTTCTCTTGAATGATCATCGTGTTTATCAGTACATTACGTTGGGTCTGGTCTTCGATCCACGCACTAAGGAGTCGCTCCATATTAAGCATCACATGACTCCTATGAAAGTACAACGTACGGGCAGTTAAAGGAGTAGCTGCTTGAGCACTTGACTTAATTTTGTCTCTATTATAACGTATTGAACCCACTGTAGATGTGGCAAGCCCTAATGTTTTTGAAATCTGGGTAAGTTTTTCTCCCGCATCAAACCTCCGTAAAACATCAAGTTTTATATCCAATGTGATTCCTTTACGGGCTCTTTTAGCACGACTGATTTCACTTGCACTTGATGGCCTCTTTTCACTCATTGTGAACAAGGGTAATACACTGGACAGTCTTGAATAAGATGTACGTAAGAGTTAAATCCAAGAGCTGGGGTCAAGTGTACACGCTGGATGAGATAAAAACACACCGAGTCCAGCCAAGGATTCTGAGACAGTTGGAGGATAGCCCCAGTCAATGTTAAATTTGTTATTCTCCGTGACGGTGACATCGCCAAGCGGCTGGAAAGTAAAAATCAAATTAAGCCCATTGTGCCTTACAGGATTGTGCGATAATACCAGATTATTAAATAAAAACAGTTTATACATCGTAAGTTATTGACATCCAACTTTAGATACCTGGGGATAATTTCTCAAAGCAACACATTGATTATTTTGCAGTTATAGTTAATTATTTGCCTACTTAAGGTAATATTCTTCCTTCAGTTGTTCAGTAAGGGTTGGTGGTAGCCACATCTTTACACCAGTTTTACACCATTTGGGTCTTTTCTGCCTCATGTACTGTACAGTACTGTATTATATATAAATAATGTTTTTGAATGAAAAATGTCTCACCGATTCAAAAATATATAGTACAGAATTTTTTTGTTAAGAAATTATTTGTGAAAAATATATATATTATTTTTATTAGGTTTGGTTAAGTTATATTATATTTTTGGAATCAAGAAAATCTGCATTCAAAAACATTTACAGTATTTGTATTTATTTTTTGATACAGTACATGTAACCAAAAACACCCCACCATTTAATAAGAAAATTTATATATCACAGACAGTTAACCAATGTATTATATTGTAGTTTTTTTAACAGACTGCCATTTCAGTAGTGATATGGAAACAAATTTAGTGGCTACAATTTACAAATTCTGTATGGGTGAATGTCCATAACCTGAGTTTCCCTAAAGTGGAGGATACCTGTACAGTAACACGTGCAAACTATACACCAAATGATTTTGTCGGCCATTTCACTTACCTACGCGCTCCTCTTCTCCTAGGCTTCTGCCACAAGTTGCCTAAGATAATGCTGCTTAGATGGAGGTCTTGTAGACTGTAGCTGTGAAGAGGGATTTGGCACATTTGGGAATAATGTTGGTATAGCACTCCATACAAGCTTGTTTTTTCAAGGTAGGATTCACAAACTACAATTCTTCAAAGCGTAGAGCACAGAGACGACAATTTTCATAAAGATATACCGCTTCAAATTTGTCCAAATCCTTCCTTCTGCAGTTGACAACCCAACGCTTGCACCTAGAGTCCCTACATACTGAGAGTAGTGACAACTCGAGATTTGCCGCTACCAAACAGGGAGGCACTACCGCCTGGGAAGATATTGGAAGCATGATGTGTTGTCTAATGGTAGACCCTGCTGCGATATGGCATCACGAAAATTGTGACCAAGTCCCAGGATGCTGATCTGACATTCTGCCTCATTTACACACAGTTGCAGGGTCTCAATTGTTTCTCTTACTATTGACAACACAACATACATACAGTATATTGTTTCTCAATTTTGATTTTTTTTTCATTTTGGTATTTCTTTATGGTTCTTTATTATTACCAGTAAGGTACGGTAACGAGCCAATCAGTAGCAAAGCAGATAGAGTAAATCTTAACCGATAATGCTACTAACACAATCACCCCATCCAAAGCCTTGTACATAAAACTGTATACCGTATGTGCACAAAAAACTCAGATGTCAAGAAAGTACTGTACAGTAATGTTCCACGAAAAATCAAAGTTAATGTTTTGGAGAAACTAAGCACGTCTTATGGGGAAAATAAAATACAGTACTGTAGTACTTGATGATGTGACCTACCTATTCTTTACTACTATATACAGTAGATACAACCAATGCTAAAGGAACAAGAATTTCATGCTCACATGAAGGTTAAAGAATCTTAATTTGCACTCCCTCGAGAGACGTAGAGTGAGGGGCGATATGATCGAGGTGTATAAATGGAAGTCAGGGCTAAACAAAGGTGGTATAACAAAGGTACTCAAACTATCCAACCAGGAGCAAACTTGTAGCTATGGTTTTAAAGTAGACAAATTTAGATTTAAGTGCGAGATAAGTAAACATTGGTTTGGAAATAGAGTAGTGGATGAGTAGAACAAGTTACCAAACATCACAATTAACTCAAATCCGCTGGATAGCTTTAAATATAGGTTGGATGGATATATGGGCGATAGATGTTGGGTGTAAACGGGACTGTCCAGTTTGGGCCAATAGGCCTGCAGCAGTTTCCTCCATTCTTATGTTCACATGTTCAACCTAGAGCTGTGACCCCTTGAATCCAGGAAAGTCACAAAAAAAGGCACGGAAAAACCCAACCTAATTAAACCTAACCTACATGCAATGCCATCATATATACATTGTGTTGTCAATGTGTACAAGTCGTGTGACTTTTTTTCCTGTGACTTTATTTCCGTTCACCGACCCCTTGTGGGGCAGGCGTCCCCCAGGTCCAGGTATGGACACTCGATTGAGTAGTGCCCTCTGGGGCGGTCCGACTAATTACCCAGATGTACCCAAATGTAGTCGCAATGAAGTCAAATGATGGTCCTACAAGCATAAATTGGGCTGTGAATCATTTCTCGATTATTATTTGGTGTCATAAAGCCACAAAAAATTGGTAAACTTAATTTAATCTGAGTTGTGTTAGGTTAGGTTAGGTTAGGTACATGCACTCGATCTATTAACTCAGATTAAATTAAGTTTACCAATTTTTTGTGGCACCAAATACTAGTCGAGAAATGGTTGGCAGTCTGATTAATTCATGTAGGACCATCATTTGACTTCATTGCGGCTACATATGGGTACATTTGGGTAATTAGTCGGACCCCTCTGGGGTATTTATCAACCAATTAGGTCACCCCTTGCCCGTCTATTGTACGTGTCTGTAATTCTACAGTTAATCATGCAAAACTTGTAACAAAATATTAAGCTTACCTTAATTTATCTGTAAGGAACAGGAAAAATTATAAATTTGGACATTTGTATCTGTAGTTGGAGCATTCCACAGTTGAACAACAGCTGAACTGCCTCTACTGCCCAGCGACATGAAGGAGTACAGTGTAACATGTACACAGACTGTACTGTACACCCCACATAATGATTCCCTCTGCTTCATTATATATGTACAGTAGCTGTTGGCAACTACTACTGTAGTCGACCCACAACTCCTTGTCTTTGGCAAAATATTATGGAATTCACTCACTCTCAAGCCAACAAAAAATATTCGTCCTTAACCAAAGCAGCTTAACCCATGTTTGAACTTTGAACAGCTGGTGACCGACCGACAACCGCCCAGGTGAGACTGAGAGCAGCTGCACTTGTAGGTCTTTATGGAAACATTGTTGGGACTTAGCGAGTCCTGTACCTCAAGAGAGCGGACAATTTTCCTGGGACACAAAATATTATACATATCTTCTCTGGTATAATATATAAATCCTTACAGATCCTTAGCCAGGAACGGACTGATGGATTACCCAAACTGTAAATTACACAGGAACACAATAATTAAAAGAACATTTGCATTTGTTCTCGTCTATTAGTTAAATCATACCAGGTTAGGTAAGGTCAGGTCGATTTTCTAAAGAAAGACAAAGTTCATTTGCACAAGAAATGAAAGTCATATTTAACTAAAGCAGAAAGAAATGGTCATATTAAAAGAAAGGAATTGGCGAAAATAGAATAGTTACCAAACCATAATCAGCCATAAAAGATATTAGGAAACTGTAAAATATGTATAGCCTGTGTTCTTATTTTTTATCATTAGTAATTATAATTAACCTATCTCAATCTTTTTTTTTTTATTATTCAGAACACATACGAGTTTCTAATTTCTGTTTTAATCTAGTTATCAGATAAAAAAAAATGTTAAGTGAAGTATTTTAAAAGATGTTTCTCCTAACTTCTCCAGAGTGTAAACATTAGGAGGAGCACCACTGAAAAGTATTTATAAGTTTATTTTCTATCTCGTATATATTTCATATTTTGTCTCACCATAAAGATAAAAGGTTATTATACACTAAGGTTATATCAGTATGGTAAATTTCTCAAAGCTCAAGTGTCGTCCAAACTCGCTCACAGGTTGTTGATTTTGCTGGACCTTAACCTGGCGGAATTTGATAAGCTGTGGAAAGGTTAGGTTAGATTAAATTAGATATGCAATTGTTTTTGTTGTGTGTTTTGAACGATTTGGACTTTTATCTGTCGGTAATAACTAGTTTTTGTGATTTCCCCCCTCCCAAAACCCCAGGTTCTTTGGGTATCTAAATACATGCATGATGAAAACTAAAAATTTGCCGATTACCACCAGAAGGAGTTTTTCGATTTCTTTAAATTTGTTCACAGATGTTATTATCATTGTAGTAAATATTTTAAAAGAGGCGACATTTATAAGAACCTAATAGAACCAGACTTAACCAACCAAAGAGAAACCTACCTAACCTTACCTAGTACCAATGAAAACTACGTACTTTGTTGAAGCGTCATGTTGGTAAAGCTGTTCTCAGAAATTGCCAATTGGAGTAATAATTAAGGACAAGAATCCAGGCTAACTTACTACTCAGAGAATTGTTTTTATTACTTGATTATCTCACTACTTATCAGCTCTTGGTACTAGCCATTCAGATGGTTGGTGTACTCTTCATTGTCAACTTATTGTCCTTTAAGTATACACTACAATATGTCACTATAACAAATACATGTACAGGTACTACCATAATTTTTGGGTAACAGTTCTCTTGTTTTCCAAGTACAGTACTGAAACTTAATTTGTTGGAATTTCTAAATGAAGTGTAAATATTTTTGTTTTCATTTTACAGATTGGCCCCATGAGTGCTGCTCAATACAATACAGGAACCATGTCTCGACTTAAGTACCCCATTGATCAGGTGGGCTCTCTTCTAGTACCGTACTGTACCATCAAGTTTAGTCGTTATGCTAGATTATGAAATTTATAATAATAACTATTGGATTTTTTTCTTCTGCATTTTGTTACTACTATGAGTCTCGATATGATTGACCTTATTTCTTACTTATTGCTGAATCCAGTATTAATGATTGAATAGATTATCCCAAAAATAGATTCATAAATATTGTTTGCATAATTATGGAAAATTATTGGCTTTTTATGTCTCTTGTTTTACTGTACACTAATTTGACAACTATTTTCCTTCTTTTGTAGTCTAGCGCCAGGGATGTGATGAAGAAGTTTTCGGACATGGCATATTCTCTGGTTCATATAAATATATTTCAGGAAGCAATTCGTAAGTTTTATTTTTCTTCAAGGTGGGAAGAGAATACTGTTTTTGAGATAAAGTAAACCTTCACTATATTGCACTAATTCGCCCTGATAATTGTCATGACAGCCAAAAATATTAATCGTGGGACTTAATATTACGGAAAGAAAAGAGAATGCGGGGTGTTCTTATCAAGTTCTGTATACTGTAATATATTTTCAAATGCTACTCAGATGTTATAATATTTAGTAACATTTTAAATACCTCATTGAGCTATTTTTTTCAGTGTAACTAATTTATGAGTTGGTAAAAATGATTTTCTGATACTTATTTGTATCGGAGAAAATGTATTCGGAATATCAATTGTAACATCTCAGCCTTTGTTATTTTCAGGTATTTTGTACAGTGAAGATTTCGTCATGAGTATTGATCTTTCCAAGCGCTTGCAGTTCCGTTGTTTGGTAAGATCTTATTTAGACTTAAGTAAAACTGATTAAGGATTCTGGCCCCTGGATTGAAAAGAAAACTACTACTATATTGTACACATGTATAACAGCAGTAAGAATGAATGAAGGCAGAGTCTGTGTGTGTTAGCTCTTAATTGCTACCATGTTTTATTAGGACTGGATAAAGTTTAGTGTAGTGGTGGTGTAGTGATAAAGGCTTGAAAGAGTTGTAAAGTGATACTGTATTAAAAATTTGGTGTAACAGGTTTTCATGTGTTGTCTGGTATCTTTGTTATGTATTTTATTGCCTTGTTTAATAACTTATAGGTCATCAACAATTAACTTAGGTGATACAGGAGAACTTTACATTACCAGACTAAATTTGGTCTAAAACCTGATCATTAAATCCAATTTCCTGTAAGGCACACAATTATTAGTCCTTGGTAGGTAACTGGTAAATTATTTTGTTGTGAAGTATAGTACCGACAGCAATCACTACTTGAACATCACCATTTTTACCCCAATACATGTATATTTGTTCTTTATTTGAATATGGTCATAGCTCAGTAGAAATGAAAGGATTTATAATAATAGCATATAATTATAGAAGTACCTGGATAAGTACCTCACTCGGCCTTCCTTCCTCAGTTCTGCATTTGACTCTGTTATTCGTTTTAGTGCCAAATAAACTGATTCCTCTTCTGTCATATACCACATCAGGTATGCTGGTTAAAGTGACTATAAACATAAAAAGATTTTGTGTGTACTGTACCTGTATATATCTTTTCTACATTCTGCAGTGAAATTTATATGTACAGTACTTGTATTTTCCTCTCACAGATTTGCAACAGAGAAATGAACTCGGAGCATGCCCTGGCAGAGCATTGTAGATCAGGGGGCCACCAAAAGGTAAAGTGATTTAGTTTGAATTTAACAAGAATTTAGCATATTGGATGTAAAAGTGAGAGTAGCAAAGTATATCTTCAATATTTGTAAGATGTTTTTACCTGTTTACCTTTAATATAATATCTATTGTTTCTATGTTGCATGTTATTTAAAAAAATCACTTGTACTTTTTCTTTCTCAGAATCGAGACAAGAAGTATCGGGAGAGTGGAGAAGTGAACATTGATGCATTGTCTGCAAATTATTCACCTCATTCTATTCATTTTAAACTGCTTAATAGCCAAGTCAACCCTTTAGGTATGTGGATTTTAGGTTTAGTATTGTGTAGTAGAATTCCTATGTGGACTAGGCTTGTAATCTGTTGACCATATTCCTTGTCTATTAAAAATCATAATTACCCTTGATTTTGCTTGTTCCATGTTCCACTTCCTCCCTTTGAATCCTGGATATTGGACAGCCAAGAAGTGAAGCCCTGTAGAGCTGCAAAGAAATGAGTAAATTTAATTTTTGTGTGAAAGCAATTCTTTTTTGACTGGCGAGGTGTAACAATAGTTTTTAGAACTTTCTCCCAATTTATTAGTGAACAAGAACTGTTTAGCAAAGACTTTAAATGAGTGAGGATTGACTCCTGAAGACCATTTTGGTTGAGCTTGAGAAATAAGACAAGGTGGAATACTAATGGATGTAACACCACTACACACTCTCAATGTACATTATATGTGTAGTTTACTAGAGAGCAAAATGTGCTTACTATCAAGGAATCAGTTGGGGAGACAAATCATTTATAATATTAGACCCTGCCTTAATAGTGACATCTCCAGGGTCTAGACTGACGGCGTAGTGAGCACATTACAGGAGGCACTTAGTTCTCAGCTGGGCCATAAAATGGTATTTTAGGATAAATTCTTCATTTTCATTTGACTACTCTCTTGTGTTGCATGTAATGGCAGTATGACTCTTAGTATATACTGCACTGTAATTGATGGTCTCACTGTAGTCAACTGTATAGGCCTGTATATATCCAGACTTAGAGTACAGTATAGTTTTGCACAGGTTCCAAAACTCTTTCTTTTCTGGCCACACAAGTCGGTTTTACTTATTCAACTAGCCTTTTAATCTTACAGTAATTATAGAAGTACAGTAGTGTTTATTTGCTCGATATAATAACCTTATATCTGAGGAGTATTTGGCCCTGACGTATCTGTGGCTGGAAGGATCCGGTAAAGGTTAAGTGAGTTTGGCACTGCTCTGGATTTTGTCATTATTAAGCTTAAGTATTCTTTTCATTTGACAGTACACTGTTCCTTGATACTGTATTAGTGGTTTAACAGTTCCATAGATGGTTCCTTCATGTAAAATATTAACATCAAAATTTCTGCTTCCTCATACATAAAACTTAAAATTTTTGATACGTATATTTTCTTTTATTCAGGACTGACATATCATGGTGATTTCTTCTTCAAAAGGTTTGCAGATGGTAGAAGAATATGACCGCGGACATGGGACGACGTATTATAAATGCATCCTTTGTGGAGCTCATGGCAAGCTGGACACAATGTACCACCATTTAATTGGAAAAAAACACACCGATAAGTACATCGTACGTACCTTTTCAGTGTTGGGGAGTTTCTGAGAGGGGTGGTTAGGTTAGGTAGGGTTTAAGTGGCTTAATTGTACGTACTGTACTTTTTCTACTTGTTACAAAATGCATCGTTGATTAAAAAATATTATTTGTCAGAATTGCAAAAGAATTTTCATTAAAAAGTACTGGTGTTTGAATGTGAAAACTATACAGTAGTGTACTGTACTTCATGTTCCTGTAAATACAAATGTTAATATGAATGCAGGGAAAAAGAGAATTAAAATATGAATACAGTGCAAATACATTTGAAATTATCTTTGAATTCAATACATTCATGAATACCTTAATGAGCACTATTTATAAAATATAAAACATGGCACACCATTTTCAAGGGCTTATTTGTACCCATTCTAGTTCTGTATACAATTTGAAGCATTGTTAAATGTTACATATGATACTGTACCTTGTTACCAGTGTACCTCTAGCATTGTAAAAAAAATTTACACCTAGGAAGAAATATTAAGTGTTAACACTTGTATCTCACTTAAATTTCTGAAAGAATTCTGTACTATTAATGGAGAGATTTAGTGCTGAGGATATATATTTCTGTATTATTATGATTTTCTTTCCAGAAATCTGGTTGTGTATTGGAATCCTCGATATTAACTGTAAATGAACGTGAAGAAATCCGCCGTAAACTGGTGAAAGAAGAAGGTGTTAATGTTCGAGCTTTAAAAACTATCAAAGGTAGGAATATATAATAACCCTGAGATGAAATATCATATGGTTGTCATTAAACCTGATGGACCAGTTATTGCTGAAGCAAATAATGTGCTACAAGAATTTTGACTCAAGTGTAGCCTATTTTTAAATATTGACCATTGTAAATTCTAGGCCTCATGGTTCTGGCAGGGAAGGATTAAGGATTATCCAGATTCAGGGATTAACATTTAACACCCAGTCACACATATCAAAGCTCCAGATCCTGAGTTTTCATTCAACCCCCAGGGACTGTGAACCATAACTTAAGTCATTTGAATATAAACTGGAATGTCTGGATCAGTTCCCCCTTTTTTTTATAAAATCTTATCAGGTAATATTTGCAATGAGTATTTCAATCCTGGTACATACCGGTAGCCTAGCTTTAATTTTTCTTAATTTTTATTGAAAGAAATATATTTATTTATTTACATTGAAGGCTAGTGCTAAGTAAAAAAAAGTTGCATCTTTTCTTTTGGTTTTGTATGTTAAACAACGGGGATTAGTAAACTCAGAGGGGAAGTATCATTCCTTTTCAGTATGTTCATTAAATGATGATAGTGCAGTTATTTACTGTAGATAATGCTACAACATATATTACTTGTCTATTCCAGGTCAAGAATTATTCCCCAAAAAGTGGCAAGCAGAAGCAATTACTAGTACAGCATTAAGAATGGCAAAGCTGTCCAAAAGAGAGTCCAGGTACAGTACAGTAAATAGGGCATTTGAGATGTTGGTTATTGTAGTTAGTGTGTGAACTGGTGGTGTGCTTGACTGTCTAAACTAGGGATCATTACATAAGAACAATTTAAGCATAGTGGCATCCAATGAGGTGTAGTGTTACAACAGCATATGTAAATAAAATTTCGGTGTTACGTGTTCAGTACTTCACAAACGGGCATGACAGTTGATGCCTGGTAAATACTAATGTAATAAGAAGTAGCCCCTCTCTACTGTGAACTAATTACTTGCCCCAAGACCAAGGTATAGAGGGCAAGCTCCCCAGGTACCCTAAAAATTGAAAATTATATCACATTAAATCACTTAGTGCTGTATTTTGTAGTTGGATGAAAGCAATAATGTATAAACTGTGCGAGGTACTCAAACACACACACACATGTACTGTATTGTACATGTAATAATAATAATAATGATTGATCCTCACGTTCAAGGATAGAAGGCGTTAGGGCCACCTAGGCCTGAATTTGTTTAAGGTGTAGATGCTGTCGTAAACACAAAAACCACACCCTCCAATCTCCACAAGCTTGCCACATGGCTTCACATTCTGTACTGTATTTAGAAGTGTGTGTGCATGTAATGGAGTAAAAACAAAAAGGAAATTATGTATATCTACTAGAAATTACCAGTTGAAAAATAAACATAAGAAATATACAGCTCACAGGATAAAGGAGCATGTAACAAGTGAGGTGAAGCATAATGTGTGATAATGGTTGTTTAGTTCTCAAGTTTATCAATAATTTTTAACTTGTCTTTTTCTTATTACTTACATACAGTACAGAGCATTACAGCTTTTCCAGGTGTATATGTACCACTCTATACATATGCATTGAAATTAACTGTGTTCTCAGATCGTCTTCTAGGTCCCCATCACCAGGACCATCAAGAAGCAAGGACTCCCGGAGTAGATCTTATCACCTTTCCAGTCAAAGATCTCCTCAACACTCTCCCAAACGTTCACCTCCGAGATCTCCCAAGAGACGGTGCACAATGCCGTCTCTTAGACAATCCCCAAAACCCTCACTCAGGTCTCCAGTAAGATCACAGTCAAGAGATGGATCTCCACTGTCTAACTATCGGAATAAATCTCCACCTCCAACAGTTACCTCTGTGCCAGTTGTTGCAAAGACAAACTCTGGTAGGTGGATCAGGTTTGATTTGTTGGTGTTATTTCTTTGTCTTCACTTGGCACATTTTTTACTGTTAATCTGTGGCTCTTGATTAAGACAAAAGTACCATAAATCTGTTTTACCATTATGTGTTAACCCATCATTCAGCTGTGAAATTTAAAGGATCCAATTCTAATAATTGAGTTAATATGTTACAGTTTTAGAGGCCTACGTGCACACTGGTGATGTCAATAGTCTGTCTGTTGGCTCAAATCAATTGTGCCAACTTTGTACTGTATGGTGACCCCCCAAAATGTTGTCACCCTATAGTTATCTTTAGCGTGGTTTTAATTTTGGAGTCAGAAGATATATTCAAGGTTTCCTCTGTACATACAAGCTTCATAAACAATGTTGTATATACTGACCCACAGAACTAGCCCTATAAGTACCTATGACAAAATCCTTGCAAATTTCCTGGGGGTTTCTGGACAAGAGACACCAAGAATCTTTAGTAAATTATGGTGATAACTGAAGGAGCCAGATTTTAGAGTTCTGATTCTGGAGGTTGTACTGTATTGATCTGAAGTTTCATTCTTCCAAATTACACAGATAAAAATGAGATCTATAAAAAGGAATAACATGTGTGTTTACTATTTTTGCAGGTACTGTTGCACTACTATCAATACCTCTCCCACCACAACTACAACCGCCTGCCCCACCAGTTGTGGAAAGCCGAGATAAGAGTGTTCAAAAACATGATCTTGAGGAACTTATGATTCAGTTCAACTTTATTGTGAAATCTCACACCATGTCAGGTTAGTATTATTTTTTAGCCATAAAGTCAAATATTAATGCATCTTTCTCTCAGTACAAAGGTCACCCTTAAAGAGGGAGATCTAAAGTGACAGTTACCTGAGAGGGGTACTGAAACGTTCCCCATCACAGATCATACTGTATTTCCAGTAACAAGCTTCAGTCCAGCTAAATCCCTCCTAGAATCATATATAACACTTAGGGTATATACAGTATAGCTGTCCACACATTTTTTAATAATAAAAAACTGTTTATTAATAGAGTTGCAGCTGGTGGCTGAAAATATACAGACTTACATTTTATTTAGACATAATATGCATTGAATATATTTACAGGGCTGTACAGTACATAAATCAGGAGTTGTTTATTATTTTAACAATAGATGGGATGGTGCTATTCTTATATCTGTCGGTGTGGGCTCTTATGGGCTGAATTTTGTTGTAGTGGCGTGTCATGGGTTGCGTTGGGCCTCCCGCACAACCCATCCCAAATGTTTGTTTACGGTAGAGATAAGGTAACCGGCCAGCCATGACTGGGACATGTAGGGGGGGGGCAGGCCAGTGAGACAGTGGTGTACTGTTCTTCACTTCACGCCTCAAAAAACCAATTTAGCGAGTGGGCTTTAGACCTTGGTTTAGAGAAGACCTCCTGCTCCGCGGACTTATCAGGGGCCATACAGTCCTACCAGTGCTACGGGTCTGTGTGTGCAAATCCCCGAGATTTTTTTGTAAAGTCCAGCGACAAGTTAACACACCCTGTAAAGGAAGTGATCAATGGTGAGGGCCTGTTTGCTACAAGAGCACTCCAGGCCGGCCTAATAGATCTAAACGATTAATTCACCAGGTTGACAAACTCTCCCTTATAACTTACGGTACTGTGGCGTGAATGTGAGTGACTGACCTATCCCTGCAAATTATAAGTCCAGTGTATGGAATTGTGCCAAATAAACGTAAGTGCAATCATCTGCCCGTATCTGTGATCCCTCTATTATCATTATTACCAAGGTTAATGACTCATTGGTTATGACAAAGTATAACCAATAACTTAGATGGATGTTGGAAGTTAGTGGAATTCACTAAATCATCATTTATCAAGTACATAACGCATTGAGTGCCGGAAGCAGAGCAAAATTCTACGTAGTGATACACCATAATCTCTTGGGTGAGTAACCAGTGTGAAGGTATCCGAGTTCTACGGTAAGAAAGCCACTTCCCTGCACTTAAAACGTAACATGGCGGACTGCGCGAGGTGGGTGGGGGGCTGCCGGTGGCAGAAGGTAAGGTGAATTCCAGCCTCTCTATACAGGGGGTCCCTGGGTCACGAACAGGTTTCATTACTGAGGACGTTCTCAAGTCAAAAATGTACGTAAGTTGAAATACATGCACTGTACTTACAGAACATTGTTTAAAATCCCACTATATCATAGCCTAAGTTCTTATATACTTCTAAAATCACTAAATTTAAGAGAAAATTGAAATAGAATGACAAAATACAGTAAATGAAAGTAAAAACAAGTCATCAGGTAAATAAAATACTGTAAATTTAAAGTTTAACCTCGTTCGTATCAGCAGGCGTTCAGAGTCGGGGACCCCCTGTATTTGATTTGGGTTTCTTTTTTTTAGAAGTCATTGTGGTGCTGACCTTAGAGTGAACATTGAAGTTGTCACCATGTTCTATATACCTGATTGGTATAGAACTATTCCTAATCTTATCTTGGAGGGAGGGAGGGTTTCCTCGGCTTGGGGTCACTAGATGTAGCACTGTCTATGCTGTCCAGAATATGACTGTGGTTTACTCAAGAAGATGCCATAGGCCTCCAGATTTAAAGTGTCAAACAAATAAGTGACTAGATTTTAAAATTTTGTCATCAAATCAAAACCCTCATATGAAGCAGCCTGAGGTGGCCCAAGGTTTAGGGGTTAACTGAGAAAGTGTGGAAATATTCAGGAGTTAAATAAAAGTATATGGGAAGTATTCTACAGTACTTGTATCCATCCCTTAATTCATGGAGGCAACCTAAGTGTTCACATTTTGAAGAGATTGCTTGTTTTTATACTGATGTAAATAAACAGTGTACAGTATTTTGATTATAAAACCCATTTTTTACTTTCAGAGAGTGATATTAAAACTGCAGAGGATGCTAAGCTAGCCATTGATTTGATGTTCAAGATTGCCGAATCTCTGCACAATGTCACCCTAGTGTACCAGGGAGATGCTAAACTCAAAACTGATGAGATGCACAATAAACTGAAGAAGCAGAATGAGGTACAGTATATTGTAATTTCATTATTTTTGTCATAAAAAGGATGTACTGTACAGGCTACTCTCAAAAAATTTATGTTAATTCACAGATTAGTGGAATACAAAATAAAAATTTAGGAAAACTCTAAAGTGCTTTCAACATAATTTTCTGGAGCACTCGTTGCATCTAAAGAATTTCAAAATGATGTAAATAATGTCTTCAGCATAAAAAGATGCGAGGAATCACATAAAATAAATAAATTCAAAATACAGTGTAAAGTGCTTTTGAAAAGTAGATTTTTTCTATTTGCAGTGGATATATATACAGTACTGTATTTTATAATTTGTGTTGCTCATGGCAAAACAAAGGAAAAGCTCAAGAGTACAGTGATGTTATTAGAAATTATGTGTTGTAAAAACTGATGGTGTAATAGACTTTAAAAAAAAAGAGAAATTACGTCCCGATTGTAATGTTTATGCACGTTTTTATCTGAGCACAACTTCTTGTAGAAAACATATTGCACTGTATAACATGATTATATTTTGGGATACTGTACTACATGTTTTTATAAAGCAAATGAACTTACCTATATGCCATGTCCCTCAATATATATAATTCACGATAATACAAATAATAAATGAATACTGTAATTATATTTACCAGTCCTTGGCATCTAAGTTCCTTGTGGGAATGCCCTATTATACATGCATAAGTTAGGTTAGCAGAACCAAAGCAGTTAGTTAGCAAGGTTGAACACTATCTACCCAACATGTTCACAGAAGTAATAGTCAAATTCCACACCCCAAAGCAGTTCTCACCATTCAACCACTTCAGAACAGAAAAAAATAGTTAGAATGTGCTATTATCCATGCATAAGAGTCGGTAGAGCTAAAGTGGTTGATTTAAATGCCCAGGGTGAGGAAAGCATTCCACCCACACTCAGATTTAGCACAAAGTGGAATTACACACACTCATGACCTTGAAATGTTACCAAGCATGCGTTGACTATATGACATGATGCTCCGTGAAGAAAGCACAAGCTGTTGGTTTCCAAATTTGAACCAGATCCACCATCAAGTTAACTTCCTACATATTTTTTTACCAGTTGGACGCCTCCATTCCTGAGAGTTATTCCTCTTATTCCAAAAGTGATAGTATCAGTGAATACAATGTTATGATTATGAAGTACTAAAAGGTTTGTTTTGAGACACGAATGTGTGAACTTTGCCACGTGCCAGTAAGTCATTTTTCTTAATACAATTCATTATATTCCATTATGAAAATACACATATTAAAGAAGCATTTACAGTATATTCTATACACAACCAAGATAATGTTCTGTACATAAAACATAGGAACAAATAAGATATTATTTATATAGTGGAATAAGTGTTAAAGAAGTACGTTTATCTAAGACACGAATTGGCGAAGTCAGCCTGTAGCACTGTGCATTGTAGGGTTTATTGGGGGATCCTAAGAGTGAGGTTCAACTAACCGGAAAACTCTTTATCGGGCACCTCTCAATCTTGGTAGGTGTTGGGTAACCGGGATTTCTCCTGTACAACAATAACCACAGAAATACGTTTCAATTCGTCACCCGATGTTTCAGAGTGTTACTCACGGCAAGGTCTAGAGATGCTTTGTTGCTAACTACTTTAGTCTCCTGGTTACTGACTCCATCATAAAAATAGAAATCCAGCATCATTCCATCTTTTTTTTTTTTTATGATCCTTGATAACTTAAAATGACGGTCAAGTAATAGTGTTCCACAAAGTCAATTAAACTCAATGACACCAGTGGTTCAACTTTGATGCAGAGTCTTAGATAAAGGCGGCTCTGCTTTGATGCCACTATAGGAGCCATCTAGTGAAGGGATGATAATCTAGTGCCATAACATGACATTTTTTCTTGTTTTTTAATTGAGAATGACATACAGAGTGTTAGTGATATTTTTTATCTCACCAATAATCAGGAATACTAATCTCCACTTTTTTCTCTTACAGTTACTTCGGGGCATTTTGGGATACATAAAACAAAGAATGGAATCGACCTGGAACAAGGAAAACTGCAGGTAGAACTATTTTCCTAACAGTGTGATATCATCATGGGTAATAGCACCTCTGTAATACAGGTTGTATATTATACTGTACTTGGAGGTGGCATGGCTGACAGATTCTGCCAAGGGTATAAAGTGTGAAAACTATCAACACTACAAATTTCAAAAGTGCTTTTTTTCATATCAGCGTATGGCCGCTGCGTGCTCATGCACACACACTGCCCACCTCCCCCTTCATCATGTCAGTATCAAACTACAGTAAACCCTCCCATTACTGGACTGAGTCACGCAACCCTTATCCATTATTTTTGCCTGGACCCAAATTTGTAAAAGCAGGCAAAGCTTTTGTATTTAAAAAAAGTGGTGTCAATTTAAAAAATTTGTACAAGTGAATTTTTGTATCACAAAGGATGCCTATAATTTGTTCTTGCCAAATGAAAATTACAATTCTTACTCGAGGAACATCTGTTATCATGTACATAAACATGCAGGTATGTTGACATCTCTACAAGTAAATGTGTCTGTTCCTTCTCTAAAATATTGCCTGGGGTATTTGGTGGCGTGGTATTGGTTACATACAGCTGCACGCTCATGATCAGCTGGGAGTATGTATTTAACACTTGTAAATAACTGTCTCTCTAAATGTAAATGGAAACAAGACTTTCTGTTACCAACAAACTAATTTCCAACAAATTTTTAATATATTCTATCTCAATATATCTAAGTTTGGAGAGTGAAATTTTTTTATATTCATCGGAACTGCCATGGATTGGGCAACTACCACTTCCCGGTGAAATTTTCCAACGATCCCAATAGCAAACCTGATCCACCGGGATTGCCTTTGGTGTCTGTGGCGCCCATGAATAACCACACCTGACGATGCTCCCAACCGGTCGGGTGGTGTAACGACCCTATATCACCTCGGTGGCTGTTCATTAGACCTTACCTGACATTTGCCGCAGTCACCTGCCTGGCCACGTCACTTGACGTCCCTATAAAAACTCCCTCTGTATCTGTTCTTTCCACACTGCTGAAAATGAGTGTAGGTTAGGGTAAAAATATACAGTGCTCTGTTTTATCTTTCCATATTGCAATTAATAGAAGTGTGTACAGTTAGATATAGTAATAGTGTACTGTACATGTATAAGTTGTCCTCATTTGTAAAAAAGTAAGGGATTTTTAAATGTCAGTGTCTTTTGTTATTACTTTCTTGTCAAAGTAAGATAAAAAATCTGTTAATTTTAGTTTTAATAAAATATGAGGTGATATATATATATATATATATATATATATATATATATATATATATATATATATATATATATATATATATATATATATATATATATATATATATATATATATATATATATATATATATATATATATATATATATATATATATATTTTTTTTATGTACAGTAAATAGAAATAAGAAAATTTTGTACCCAGATAATAAAAATTACTTTAATCTTCTAGTTTGTCTTGAGTGAATGACTGAGTACCTGTTTGTTTTTCCTCTCCATAACAATGATGATAATAAAGGGGGTGTTCTAGATGGCCACCAAGGTCCCTAGGGGCAGCATTGTGGTAGGAGTACAGAGGAGCAAGAGTCCTAAAAGCTCCAGGATTTTCACCACTTAACTATCCTTAAAACAATGAAGATACAATTAATAACAACAAACTTTACTTCTCTGCACCTTGGACTACTCCAAGTCTGATTACTACAAATAAACACACTTCAGCACCACTGCCCGGGCCTCATAACATCAAGTCACCATGGAGCTGGATCTCTGCCCCTTCACCCCATAAAAAATTTCTAATCAGATCAAAATTATTTACACAACTCATCAAAACAGTTCCCACCAAAAGCTGAATTTCCAGAAATATAAATATATTTGATAGATATACAGTACTGTACTGTACAATAAACCCCAGCAACTTCATCTGTTTTAGACACTTTATGGCTACTGAACAAACATATGATTTTAAAATAATTCAGAATCCTCACACTTCACCTGGTGACCTCACATGATTAACATTGTTGCTGCCTGCATCCACTTGGCTATTTAGTAACCTCATAAAAGTGGAGCATTGTTGGGTCACTTACCAACACATATTGTCTTTATATGAGTAGCACATAGTGTGGAGTCACTGCCCATATGTGAACCTCTCATGAATAGTGTGTTATGTGGGAGGTAGCCGGCCAACTCTGCTTGTCCATGTGGTGACCTCACATGAGTAACACCTTTATATTGGGTTTCTCTGAATTACTCCAAAATTTTTGAGAGTTTGCCAGACTGTATAAAGTATTGTACTTTTATTCAATGTATTTACTAAAGCTTCAAGTGAATTTTAATGGCTGCATAAAACAACTTGGATACATATGCTTAAGCTTTCTTTAATATCCAAAATAATGAGGTGATATAATATTTTCAGTATCTAAAATGGTATATCGTCTTATTTTAAAAGTAATAAATATTGAAATAAATATATTTGTTATATACTTTAAATAATTGTTATAAAATAAATAAACTTATTGCATAATTCACTCACAAAATTATTTGTTCAGATCACCATTATGTAGACCAATTACATACCATCAGGTCCTATTCCCAGCCCTCGACTACAGCACCACCCAACACACCAGTACGTTAATGTGGACGCCAACATATGAGAGACCCTTCCCTTGAACAGTAACCTTGACCTCTGAGCATAAAAAACAAATGGTAAGCGTGATGACTACCAAGACTCAAACTGATCCACCCAAAACTGTAATATTAGAGACAGACACACTCGATGAATGACAATATCCTCGACCAACACTGACCAAGGAGTAATGAGCTATATGCCATGCTAACTGTGGCATGATCCCCACGCACACACACACACAAATCATTTCCTACAATGTATAATAAAAACAGGAAATGTCAGGGCCATCATACTGTCTTATCATCTGCCATCTCAAAGTTTTCACTGTCTAAGGTGGCGGCAGATGAACTTAAAATGATTGTTACAGTATATAAAATCTATGAATATCAGTTTCTTTGTGAATAATTGTAAAACTATCCATTGTTTGCAATTACTTTTCTTACTAACACAGTTATAGTACAGTACAGTACAGTACCTGCTATTATAATCTGCCACATATCAATTGTTTGTATTTAAATATTTTGTCATTGGGAACATCCCAGTTCTAATTACTTTTGAGTTCTCTAATTTTCTTATTCTCATAACTGACAAAAAATACATTTAATCCCCCTTCACTATGGAGATGCCACTTTTAATATTTTATTTGGCTAATGCCAAATCATTTTATTCAGCTCACAGGCAACCCCATAAACAAGGGGTTAAGAGCTGAATTCTTTAACAAATATATATACCCTGTCTTGCTTTTCACCTCATTCACACAACAGGTTGCCATAAAATTTACTGCTGGGTTAGTAAATAAACCCAACATAGTCAAGATGTTTGTGTTTTCCCTGGATCTCCTCTTCATTATGAAACTACACTTTCCATGTAACAAGTCAATTGTTGGTACCTGTATATATATACAAGGGTTGGCATTTTCAAGCTGAAGGCTGGTAATGTAGCACCAAAATATATGAGAGTAGAGAAACAAAGTCCCTTAAGGCCACAAAAAAGAATGAAAATAAGGAGAGCGTCAGCATGGAAATATTAAAAGGGAAGTTAGAAGTAGAAAAGTATGATACAGCTGAGGTAGGAGAAAATATGAGAGATAGTGTTTGAAGGAATGTATGATGAGAGAGAGAGAGTGAGTGTATCAGGCAGTACTACAGTATTAAAATACACAGTCTGACGATTAAGTTCGTGAACTAATGCTACAGGCGCCGGTACGTACGTACGTACTGGAAACATTTCTGGAACTCACTTTCTGGAATAGCTTTTATAATTGTTGTCGTGCTACTCTGAATGTCATCCAAGTCTTGAAAATGTGTCCCCTTGATATGTTTCTTCAGCGAAGGAAAAAGTCACATGGGGCCAGGTCAGTGAATAAGGAGGGTGTTCCAGTAAGATGATTTGTGTCTCGGCCAAAAACTCCTGCACAATCAATGCCGTGTGTGCTGGGGCATTGTCATGATGCAAGATCCACTTGTCTCCAGTGAAAAGTTCTGGGCGTTTTCGTCTAACTTTTTCTCTGAGTTTTCTAAGCACGCCGAGATAGTAAAACTGGTTCACACTCTGCCCGGGGGGAACAAATTTTTTCAGTGTTTTCCTCAGTCCTGCTCATTGTTGATCGTCCTTCTCTGTCATCGTCTGTCACGTCTTCTCTTTCCTCAGAATATCACTTAATCCACTTGTAAACTGATGTTTTCTTTAGTGCATTATCCCCATAAACTTGGATTAACATGTCCTGAATTTCAGGACCAGTTTTCCCTAGTTTCATTAGAAACTTGATGTTTGTTCTTTGCTTTAAAACAATATCTGTCATAATTGCGAAAAAAACAGAACACGCTCTATCTAATACAATAGCTGCCACTGCACACATCTGACTAACTTGAGATCGACGACACAGTTGTAGTAGTAAGAGAAGGGATCAAGGTCACACGCACGCCACTCACACTCGTTCCAGTGCTGCCACCTGTTGAGCCATGCGGCGAGTTCGCGAACTTAATTGTCACACCTCATATAAACAACAATAAGAACATTTGAGATCATATACTGTATAGGGAAATTAAAAATCTTGATTAAAATTATATCTCAAAGTTTATCACAGTTGTAGATACTGGAAGAACCATGTATAGTACAGTATAGACATTAAAAAAAAATAGGAATAAAATTTAAACAAATTTAGACAGGTCTGTAAACTAATGCTTAATTACTTTTTAATGGAATCTTACTTTCAAGTTGCAATAATACAGACAAAATTTTTTCTAATAAGAAAAACAAGAACTATATAACTTACTGTAGTAATCATGTGTTACACAGTTGTAAACACGGCACAAACTAAATAAATATAATAGTATAAATTTCTATACTTGACAATGTTTAACCAGCTGAGCGAGGCTTCCATCCTTCAACTGTTGTGAGCGTCTTGATATACACTCACTTGTGTGGACCTGATGAAAGAAACAAATAATGCAGGATATCAAATGAGGCCCCTCGCATCGTAAGGGTTACTCGCGCCAAAATTTGAAACCGAGAAAACCGCGTTTTAAGTTTTTCCAAATTCTAACATGCATAATTTTGTTGATTCTTGAGATACAGTATGCATTTTGAAGCTGAAGAACTGTACTTGCAGATGGTAGGTAGCGCATCATTAAGTAATGTACTGGGTTGTTGCAATGTTGACTTGAAACAACAAAACTCCCACTTGCTTATGGCTTTTTTACTTTAATCGATATCAGAGTGTAGATCCCACCACAACAAAAGAGAACTGAAGGAGAGAGGGAGGGATTCAGCAATCTTTGGCGGGAGGGGCTGTGACGTAGATAGCAGATGCTCACTGTCATTGGCTGAGACGGGGGAGGAGGCTGCAGGTCGGCTGCTGTGATTGGCCGCCCGCTCCTCTCACTCACTCACTGACGGGACGAGAGCACTTGACGACGTGAAAGCCAAGCACATACTTTCCTGTCTGCCACAAACCGATGTTACACCCTATTTTCAAAGGGATTTCAACCTTATTTACAGTCTAGTAAGGAGATCTTATCCACTACCATCATATAGAGCTAGGCCAAAAAGAGTTCTTTCCAACAAAAAACGGGTTTCAACTGGGTGGTCTGAGTTACCCTTATGATGCGGGGGCCTCAAATTATGTAATACACTTCCCCCAAAACACACAACTAATAATAACAAAACTTGTTAAAATTTTCATCATGGAAAATTGTGTAGTTAATATGATCAAATAATTTGTCCCTCACAAATATTTGTGTGGTATTTCATAAAGCAGGTAAACCAACTGAGGCAGTACTGTAGTTTCTCTAGTCACAATGTATTTTAACTTCATAATGTCCAGCACTCATATGTAGCACCTTTATTTACCCCTTCTGTCCATTTCAAGGCTGTTGGATACTTTCCTTATTGTTCGGTATATATTACCAATAACATGAAACAAACAATCAGTAACAAGAGGAAATGTGTTTCTTTACCACAGATCTTTCATAAAGGGTAAAATTTATGGAACAAGAAAGGTAAATTTTGCACAGACAATCAATCCATTCACTCATATTACTTGTAAGTCAGTTATCAATTGTAAGCCAATTACCAAATGTGGGATTCGGTGGTAAGTAAAATAATTATATGAGAAAATTAAACTTGTAAGTCATTCCACAGACCAAACTGAAGGTAACTAACCACTACTTCTCGACGGTTGTGTTTGAGCACCAAAGACCACATCAGAGAAGCCACATTCATCATCTGGGGCTGCCTTAGGTCACACCAGGTCACTATGCACCAAAACAATCCTAAGGCCAACGGTCCACAACGTTTCTCATGAATTCCAGTCAGGCCCTGAAACACACACTAATTAAAATATGAAATAGTAAACAGCAAAAAGAAGATGTGATGGTTGAAAACAATCTCTAGAAACTTTTGACAAATGAATGTGATGTAATAAAGTCTTCATTACAGTGTAGCATGATTGGACATACACTTACAGAATACTGGACTGTATATGAAAGCATTACAATATACAGTATTTGTCTTTATACTGTGAAGGTTAATACTTGACATTTCAATTCTTAACCTATTCAGTGCTCTTGATACTTTAGGACTTCATTCTGGCTACCGACACAATTTTTTATTCAGCTTAGAGAAAACTTCCAGCACTGAGAGGAATAATTTGTTCTCTGTACTAATCAGCTATATCATCTACTGTACTCTCATTTTCACTCTCCACAATGCTTCCAGCTGTTACCTATGGTACATTATACTGAACTGTACTGTATTAACAAATTAACGGTACTACAAATACAAAGTAGCATACACAGTTCTCAGTTAGATTTTTAAATTTTCTAGGGAAGTCACATTCCAACCCTCTAATGCTGTATTACTATTTAGTAACATGGGCCTACGCTCACCCTACTTCAAACATCATGGTTACTCCACTTCCACAATCAAAATTAATCCATTACAGGTAAAGTACCAAAAATTTTAACTATTTTAATTGTCTTACATTCAGTTTCCTCTCCATCAACTAATACCCCTCTTTATATAAGTTCATTTTATCTTGTATGGCTCATCTTTAATGCATATTATTTTTGCATGGTCTATCTGTCTATAACCATTAACTGTAGTGTACTAGATACCTTTACCCACAATAGAAGAAAAAAAAATTGAGAATGTATAAAACTTGAAAAGAAAGATATCTTGATTATAGATCTCTGATTTCTTTCATCCCTTTTCACTGCGGTTCCTTCAGTTCATTATCTACTAGTTGTTCTAAAACTGTAAAACAATGTATCATGTGTTTACAACGGAGAAGGGTCCATCAATCTTTCAATAAACTTCACCATACAGTACTACCAAGCTCTTAACCTTTCCTCTGTCTTTATTTTCAGCTCTTGCAAAATATGATGTCTTTCAACATTTGAACTTCCCTAATCTTTTCTTCTACAATACAAAATGCTGGTATGTATCTTACTTGTATATGTGAGAGAATATCTTGTAATAAAGTTGTACACAGTTGCTCTGCTTCTTGCTGTACTTGTATGTCTCCTCCATAGAGTGAATCATTACCCTCAACTGAAGAACACATTACTTTAATCAACCTATGCTTGATGCCTTATTCAATTAAAAACTAGATACATTGCTAATCCCCCCCCCCAAAAAAAAAAAAAAAATTCATTCAGTTTTCAACACAAAGGTATTGAGTCAGTGGTAGAAATCCCTTAAATTATATTCAAGAATCATCTACAATAAAATAATACGTAACTTTCCTCCAAAAAATCAACCATAGTACTCTTTATTACTTAGACAAAATAAGTCACCATATCAGAATAATGGAAGCTGACTCACTGCTGCAGCACCTCTACTGGGCATGACAAACTTGAAGCTTCTTACGTCGTATGTAAAGATCTCTCTCCCTGACCCTGTGAACTCTTATGATCTTAAGAGTACAGTATACTTATAGTTTTGCAAAAATATTATCCAACAATTATAGCGCACTTTTTCCCAGCTGAGAAGAGTTGCCCCGCCCCCTCCTCAAGAGTTACAACTGATTGGCTGTTGCAAATCTGTTTGAATTCATCCTGAAGTAATGATGTACTGTATTTATAAATGAGTTTATTCATAATCGTTGGGATGACCGTTTCTGACGACAAAGATATTTAGCTAAATCATTTAAAGATACATACATTCATTATTTCTAACATGAGCACATAGGAAGTTTATCAGAAATCCTATATACATGAATTAACTGTTAAACTTTGGTAGTACAGTTTACTTATTTTTGCCCACAATAAGTCATACTAAGACAAATTATGTATAAGTAAAACTACATTATACAAAAACTAACATTTTAAAAGATCAGACTCACACTGAAATATTATTACACAGCCGTCAGCAGAGGCAGGTTATATGAAGTTCGCAGTCATATTTCCCGCCTCTGCTGACGGCTGTTCGTTCAAGCAGGCAAGTCTGTCACACTCATCCACCAACTTTCAGAGGCCACGTAATATTCCAATGTGATTCTGTTCCTTTAAAAGGTTAGTTTTTGCATAATGTAGTATTATTTAGTATTATTTATAAATACAGTACATCATTACTTCAGGATGAATTCAAACAGATTTGCAACAGCCAATCAGCTGTAATTCTTGAGGAGGGGGCGGGACATCTCTTCTTAGCTGGGAAAAAATACACTTTAACCAGAGTAATACACGTGCAACACCAATAGGCATCTAAATCCGGTTTATAAACAGACCGTCTAATCTAAATGCATCCTGACAGGCTCCCAGTCACCAGGATAGTGGTCACTGATTAATGCTTTCACAATAAAAAGATCCAGAGCAGAGGCTCACTGGTGAAATATTTCTTAATCTTAAGCTTTTTAAACAATAAACACATGTAAAAAGTAGCATTCTTAATGCCAGATTAGTTTAGACCGAGGCTTTACAGTAAGGGTCCAGCTCAAGACATCACAATAAATTATGCCTCACCAATCCTCCTGGCCTTGAGATTGAATCCAAGTCTTTGGGCTGCAAGTCTAGAATACTACCAACTATTATTTCCAATTGTCTTTATCTATGTTTCTTCATGGCTGTCTGAATTTGGGTTACTTCATTCTTCACAAAACATACAACAACCTAAATGTTAAGAAGCAGCAACAGAGATGTACTGTATCAATACATCTGTCAAGACCTAAACTAGTTCAACATATCAGCATCTGTTTAACTGAATATAAGAAAAATATATGACTGACGAGTTCTTACTTAGTCACAAACTGTAATTAACAGATTGATATATTTAATGATCCATATATAAAATACTGAGCCTCACCTGAGTGAATATGGTAAGGTAAATTATCCTGAGATGCAGCAGACAGTGCATGTAGTAATGATATTGATAGTAACACTTGAATATCAGTATCCTTCTGCCAGGTGTTGGAGCGTACAGCATTTGTGAGACCACGGAGCAAGTATAGTGGTGGAGAGGCATCGGGGGGGTCAGGTGTAGCAATCAGGGTAGAAGCTAAATTGGCAACTGACAAGCGGAGAATTTCGGCAACCTGCCCTGCTGTTTCTGTGTCCTGTGAGCCGTCTACTTCCACTACCTCCCTGATAGCTGCCTTCATGCATGCATCTCCTGAAATAATAAATTGTTGGAAATTACATCACACGGTTTAAATGGTAAATTTTTACTGAACCATTAAAGCAGTGTTTCATGTAACTCCAAATGGTATGTACAGTCGCTCAAAAAAGTATCTGAAAAGTGGGATCCAATGGATGTCAAAATGAATAATACAAACCCCTGTTTCCTGGTCCTCTACCATTTCCCCAAAACATGTCAGATGTGTCATATTGTCATGAACAATATTTTTCAGATACTTTTTTGAGCAACTACACATAATTGGTACTAACTATAAACACAAAAAGAAGAGGCAGCAGTTGCACTAATAACCCTCTGTACAATATGTCAGGAGCATATTTTTTAAAAGTTACAGTAACAGTGATTCTTGAAAATTCATCTGAGGTATTAAAACTTCATGCACATAATTATTCCTGCCAATGTATAACAAAGACAAATTATAAAGGTGTCATTTATACCAAAAAAATTTATTTAACTTAATTGTCGAGCCGTACATCACCATACACATTCACTGCAGGTTAACTGATAAGCTTTGTTTGCTTGCAATTACAGATGAACCTCTGATACTTGAGATGACAATTATCATTTTAAGCATAGTCACACTGGTACAGCATCACCCACTTGCGTTATCTTCGTGATGCTGGACTTACTTTATAACCATGAAGATCACTGACTTGTAATATTTGGTTTAAGAGCATGTGACACATCCTATAGAGCTCACAGAAAATAATGGGAGGTTATTGTGGGTTTACTTTATGCAACATCATTTACCTTGACCCAAGCAATTATTCAGTAATGCTACAGCTCCCGAGAGTAGGTATAGTCTCAGGCGGGCTGCAGATGACGTCAAGGAAGGTATAGTGATGAAGCAGTAGGCAGCACAAGCACGTACAAATGCTGCTGTTTTGCCCGAGTGTTGCCCGTGCATCACACTCCAGGTTGCCATGGCCAACCGACACACACACTTGAAATAAAAAACATATATAATAATTATTTGAATACACTAATAATATATTTTTCAATTTCTATAAAATATTTCGAAATCAATACACTGTAAGACTAATATGTTTGTAATTCATGCATTAATCCTAGAGTGCCATTCTCGACCCAAACCACACTAAGTTGACTCATGTTAAGAAACAAGTTTTTAGAATTCCACATCTGAGCTTTGGTCTGGTACAATATAATGAATTAACTTACTACCATCACATTTTCCAACTAATCTCTAAAATAATTCTTTGATCAATTTCATTAAGACCCAGTCATCACAGTTGCATCATAATCAAAACATTTAATATAGATATTAATGGTATCACTTGGGAGAGAGAAATAGCACAGGTAATTAGGATATTAAAGCTTGTAATAAGAGGATCACTCCCATAAACTAAAGGTGTTATATAATAAGTTGTCCAACTATAACTCAGTAAATTACAAGCAAAGTTTAAACAGCAAAGAATTATTCTACAGGAGACTTTTTGTTGTTTTTGAGAACACTGTAATTTAAAACTTCGCTTATACTGTACTGTATTTGTAATAGTAGTAATTGTATTTTACCTGCACCAGAGAGACCAACACTGGGTCTAGGTTGGAGAAGGCAGCCCTGGAGTTCACATAAAAATCCAAATGCTGCTCAAAGTCTCGTCCAAAATTAACTTGCCGAATAAATGAGATGATGAGCTGGGATAGTTGCCGTCTTTCATCATCTGTTGTTAGAGCACTGCAGAAAAAGATAACCATTATTTTCTTTCTAAACAGTTCAGTATATTCTACTTCTCTACACATGCATTATATTTTCTAAATAGTGATTTCAGCCCTAAAAAAAGTTAACTTACTAACTGTGAGTGGAATCAGGCCAGCTGTGTCTGATACAAACACAACATTGATCAGAGTTTTCAGTAGTGCTGTATTGGCACACTAATAATCATAATACAGTTACAAATACTATGATATAATAATTTATATAAAGTAAAAAGTGGAAAATTGGTAGGCAATGCTGATTCAAGCTAATCTGAAATAATTATATAATAAAGGTCAAATTAAAGCACAGCTGGAAATATGTGTTATAGTATTACACAAATAACATAACCTTTTGGGAAAACTATAATTCTATTCCTATAATGTAAGAATGATTATAACTTCACTTTACTCACTTTATAGAGTCATGCAGTGCACCACACAGAGTGAGGAGGTGTTGCACTAAGGTAGGATCTGTGAAGTCCCCCGGGTGGTGAGCGAGCAGTGCCTCGACCACTCCACGGGTCACCCCATCACCTGCACTAACACTGTCACGCTGGAATACATTCAGCAGACCCAGGAAGTTGTTCTGGAAAGGGAGGAAGATGTGACCTATACCAATTATCACCAAAATACTTCACACTACAGAATCAAGTCACATTAGCCAATATCTCTCTCTCTCTCTTATAAACTGTTTATAATAACCAGAAGGAACCTACCATGGAGAAGAGTGCGTGGGAATCTGTGGAGTTAGTAAGAGCTGTGGAGACCAAAGCTAGAAGAGCAGGGTAGTGCACCTGCTCGTGGCTACCCTCTGTCCCCACATGCTTCAAAACATCTCCGAGTAGAGTGTTCACCTCCACTGACTGTAAAGCATGAGGTTTCATATGAGAAATAATTGTATTAATATTTATGAGGAAGTAAAAAGGTTCTTAGCCTCATAGTTATCCTAAATTTAGTGAGAGGTAAGCTTGGCATTTTCAGTTAACTCAAAATATAATTACACCAAAGCCCGAGGCCATTAAAACTTTAACAAAAACCTTACTGTAAAGTTTTTGGCAGTAAACTCCAGCCATACTCCTGCAGTAGACAGGTAGTCCTTTGTTTCAGGAATACGGGTGATGAGTTTCCACACAGCATTCAAGAGAGGGAGCTGCTGCTGCTGAGGAGGAGCAACCTGGTTGACACAACTCCCGAGGACTGACAACAGTTCATGCTGTTTTTTACCTAAAATGGTAGAAAAGTTTATTTGATCACTGGTGTCATTAACTTTTGTTGATGATGACTCGTTACCCAATAGCACTATGTACATATTAACAAAAATATATTAGGTCTCACGAGTTTGAATGACAAAAAATATAATAAGCCTGAGAAGATGATTGACTGATTAGACTGTGATAGAAACAAATAATACCAAAGAACAAGAAAGTACCAAACATCTGTACAAAACAAGAGGTTACTATTTTTGACCTTTGATTGAGACTGAGTTAAAGGGTTGAGAGATGATTGTAGGAAATATAAAAAGTGTTGGATCTTGACTGAGGTTATCTAAGCATAGATCCTTTATGATGAACACTGGCTGTAAAACTTAAGTCAGTTAGGTTAAATAATGTTATAATGACAAGTGAAGCATAAAATCAAAAGAGTAAAGGGGAGGAGGAGGAGAAAGTGTTGGATGCATTATAAGAAAACTTGAAAATAATCAAAGCACCCAACTGACCTGGATATGAGCAGCCAGCAATAAGGTGGGTGAGAGGGAGAGCCTGCAATGCTATGAAGTGATGAGGAAACATAGTGAGAACAGCTCCAACAAGCAGGTTCTGACCCAGACCCTCTCCACTCTCACATTGACGTAGTATGCTCTGTAAACACACACATACATTACCATTACATACTTTTTTCAATCTTAAGCATCTTCTACCATATTATTTTACAGTAGTATTTACAGTTTCATCATTTTAACTGTATAATGCATTTGAGGATTCTACATCTATAATGCAAAATCAACTTTTCTCCTCTCCAAGTCCTTTCCCACTATGATGCAGTGTAGCCAGAATAACATATCATACACAGACTCTTCCTTGATACATTTTTTTAACAGTTGTACAGGGTGTCTCATAGGTCACACACCATAATAAAAATAATATTCTTTCTTCCTTAGGAGAAAAAATAAACAACAAATTAACAACGATGGTAAAGGCATAATAACAAATTAATAAAGATGACAATGTAATTTAACACAAGAGGAAAGATTCAGTTCATATCTCAACCATCTTTGTTAACTTGTTGCTTATTTCTTCTCCTAAAAAAACAAATCAAACACAAACATAACTTTACTTAAGGTACATGACTTATGAGACACCCTGTACTTTATTGTTATGGTACTGTAGCCCCGTCTACAACAAAGCCCCAACATGTATCTAGTATCCGGTTTATCCCAGTTACTTCACATAACCTAGCATCACCATCTACAACATGTTCATCCAGTAGACCAACTCCGTGCCAAGAGGAGGTTCGGTCGTTCATGCACACGTCTGCCTTCTGGATAACTAACACCCTCTCTCGCCCGTCGTTTAATCTTATTTTTTTAAATCCCTTCAATCTCCTATCCTTCACTTTTCAATCATACACATTTTAATTATCTTGCACTTCCCACTATCTCAATATAACACCAGAATGAAGGGAAACTGTAAGCCTGTATTTCTCTTCCTCTTACAATCCACTTATTAAATAGCCTAAGAAAAGAGTCTGCTCTCTCAAACTTGGGGTGTATGATCCACTTAGGAGCTAACCAACATCTCAGATCCAAAATTAAAATCATCAGTTTCCTCCTCACCTGTAAGACGTGATGTGGAGCCCGGGTGGCCAGACACTGCATCATCCACTCTAGAGGAGGAGAGAAAAGCCGAGCTGCCAGAGCATCCTTATCCTCGCCCATGTTCATGTCTGCTTCTCCTTCTGGCCACAACCCCTAGGAACACAAAATATTTAATTCATGAACAACACATTGTATCATTAAGACTGTCTTAATTCTCACAAAGATATGTCATGAAATCACCTCCACGAAGGATTTTCCACAAGTGCTACATTAGGGAGCGTACATATTATATAAAATGTCTTATCATTTATTTAACATGTCACACTCTATAAACACTGTTTCTATTGCACAGTTGAAGACTGTGTCCCCCATGTATGAAAGGCTTGGAGCTGTCATATTGTACCGATTTCTCATAGTATATAACCTGATAATAGGGGGTACCTCAGCTCTGAATGTTTCCCCCTTACCTTGCAAAAATATACCCATTGACCATATCTGACTTGTTTGAACTTCCAGTACCGTAGTTTTCAGACCTCCCCCAAAGGGTTTCTACATGATTTAACTATAAAAATCATAAGTATCATAAAATACCATAGGGGATATTTCCTGTGCAAGAGTATTTAAAATCTCAATGGGGATCATACAATGTTTCCTACATAACACATAACATAGTGTAGCAGGCTAATAGTTCTCTTGACACCAATTTGCCTGGATCGATCCACAAAATGCTAGTTGTAGCCACTAATAATGAAAGGTCACTAAGGTACTGTCCATTTCTACCACAAGTTCACCAAGTTCACAAATATTGATTCCAATGCTTGTTACTGCTAGTATACCAGGTCAAGCTTGGAGAGAAGTGAAGAGTAAAAGAAGTGTGATTGTTCTCTGTGAATGTTAACTGGGGAACGAAGCAAGATGGTGGATTGGTATTGAGATCAGAGGTGGTAACTCACAACAGTGTCTGTAAGGTATTAGTCAAGTAGCTCAGACACAATAAGACCTGCCTCCAGAGGGTCATCTTTGCTTCTAATCTTCCTGTGTAAAGGGTGATGATTATGAGGAAGAAGAATAGGTGGGGACAGATGTAACACCAAGCACCTAGAACTGGCTAGTGCAAAGAGGAGAGCTGTTTGGCAAAGGGGATGAAACTATAAAAATAAATAAATATAGATAAAAAAGAGGAACCAATAAGAAATACTGAAAAGTACACAAACTAACATTTCTCTTCAGATAACCACAAAGCAAAGGTTGAGAACAGCTGGCAGATTAACAATCTTAAAAGTGGTTAAATAATAGATCAATAAGAACAGTACAATCCATTAAATTATTGCCAGGTGATGCTTCCAGGGACTAGACAATTTAACATCTTGAACAATTAGTAAAATAGGTTTTATTAATAAATCTTAAAACATTAAAGTATGTGTATAGAACACATTTTATAAAGTTGTTTTTAACTGTACCTGCTTGAGGGCATGCAGGAAATCTTCTATGCTTTCTGATATATACTGTGTAAGGGTAGGAGCAACCTCAATGCCCATACGGCACAAATACATTCGTGCATAAGCAGCCATCAGAGGATCACCAATACCTCGAATCATGCGTGATATCCTCGAGAGAGCCAGCTCCCCTTCTCTGAAAATTACATAAATCAAATAGAACATCCTCTAATGTAGAGTACAGTATACAAGATCATACACATACTGTAGACTGTTTTAAAATGAACTCAGCACAAGAAAGTTCTTTATGTTAACTAACACTACTGCACTTGTGAAGCAAGAGATCAGTTTTGTGTTCACCATAAAAAGTAACACATGGAAAAAATTATGCTGTTATAAAAAATATTTCATATTTTCCCCAATGAAATATATACAGTGCTGGCATTAAGGGTTTATCAGGAAGAGGGAAACTGGTTTAGTGTATGAATACAATTACATAATGTCAACTAAGTTGTTTAATATCTTCATGGGACTTATTATTGGTTCTCAGTTAGTGTACAGTTATTGCAAAATATCACTTGTATTGATTAATGACAATAGTAATTTATATTACATGGTAATTATGTTTGGGCTAACATATTTAATGAGGCAGTGCAATCACCCATGTCAACTGAATCTTGTGACTTGCACGTGTAATCCTAGTCTGATGTTAACTAAATCATAATACTGCAGGTAAGTTATAGCCGAATGACCCGAGACCTTAAGCTACAATTATCAAGTAAAACTGCTTTATAGATTTAGTGTGCAACAAAGATGTGAGCGACCGCCCAAGCAGCTAACGAGCCGATAGTGGCGAAGAGGATAAAAGTAAAAAGTAAAATGTATAGATGATGGAATGCCTATAGCCTTGAACTGAACTTAAATACAGTAGTTTAAATCTAGGTTGTTTATGTCTTGCAATTAAGGTGAAAAATATAAATATTTGAAGTTGTGACACATTCATAAGTACTGTACAGTATACCTATGTACTTACTGCATATCGATGACCGAATAGCAAGGCAGGAGAGCAGCTTCAAGATATAACCTTGGGAGAAGTTCTCTGATGGATGCCACCTTGTAGAACCAATTCCGAGCTGTCTCTTGGGCTTCTTGTTTTCCTGTGCTCCCGCCACTAACTGAAGGACTACACACATTCATACATTAGAAAGGTCTAAAGTACCACAGAGAAAGTCCTTTATTATGTGAAAGTCTTTTATTATGTCTACTTTATCAAAACTTATTACATATTAAACACTTGTCTTCACTGAGTTATGATACAGTACTAGTTTGTGAAGGTACGGTAGTCACCCATGGAAGCATTTGTTTGGAATATATATTAAACAAATGCCCCTTTTTACCACCTTTTTCTTCATATACAGTACTGTGATTTTCTCAATGCTCAGCCTCTATTGCTTTCTAATACAATACTGTACTACCACTTCATTAGGTCTTTCCATGCTTCACCTTTGACTTTTTTTTGTGAACAGCCTATTGAAGCAAAGCCAATACTCACCTGTCATCCTGGTACTTTTGTTTAAGCCGCTGATAGACGAGAAAAGCCAAGGTGTCCAAAATTTCCATCACCAGGATAAATTTACTTGGGTAGAAATGTTCCGGAGCAGAGAGACTCAGCAGCTTCACACACTACCAGATGAGGAAGAAATACTGTACTATTTTCATATTCCTTTTATCTCTCAATTTGATGGAGATAAGTGACAGACAGCTCAAATACAAAGCCATTCAAGATCTTACTGACAACTTCTTTCCTAACTAGTTTTATGAGAATTAAAATTACAATAGAATTTATTAAGGTCACAAGGTCTACAAGAAAACAGACTGCAGACACACCTTGGATGATGCCAGACCCACCCTTACCAATCTAATTATTTCATGGTGTGACAAAAATAACAGGTAAACTCTTCCTCCTCACTGTTTTGCCAGATAAACACAACTCTAACACACCAATATATAACACACAGTTACTTCTACTCATAAACATACCATCAGAAATAAATCCTAAACCATTACAGAAAGAATTACAAACCGCACACATGGAATTACTTACCTGGATACCTATCTTGAGAGCCTTAATGCGTTGGTCAGACTGCCAGGCCTCGTTCAGCTCTTGTTTCAGACCAAAGAGGCGATGGGTGAACTCTTCCTGCGTCAACCCGCCGACCTCACGCACCACACCTCCACTAATTTCATCTAGTGTATCCATCTGCTCCAATCGTGCTCGGATTCTTTCACTTCCGCTCATACCTGACAAAACAGCAGAGTACAGTATAAGTTACAGTGTTTATAAGTTGACAGTACAGTACAGGGTGTATATGTATAAAAAATCCTTAACAGTACTGTATCTTGTATTTATTTTTCATAATTACAAACTAGTCTGTATATACAAACCATCAAGTAGATAATCTCATACTGTGCAAAGTGTATACACATAACATTATTATTAGCTAACCTAATAATGTAGTAAGTATATAGTGTGGTATGTTATCATAATTAATGATGTCTGTTACATTTAAGATACTGACCTTGTAGTGTGTTGTTTAATATCATATAATAACTAAACTGTATGTACCATAATAGGTTAGGTTAGGTGAGTGCCCGGTAATTATTACATTATCCATTTATAATTTGTGTTATGAATAAATATAAAATAACTCTTATATAAAGACTAGTTTGTAATTTGGAAAAACAAAAACAAAATTAAAAATGCTGAAGTATTTTACAATCATCCTTAACATGCACACAAAGGAAAACAAAACACCTATAACACAAAAATATAAATTACAGTGAACTAGAGATATTTTGTTACATATATACTAAGACTTGTGTTCTTACCAGTCAATAAATAAAATACACAATATTCCGCCTTTCATAATTATGTTGTATACTGTGTCAGCTTACCTTGTGCCCGATGTCTCTCTGTGACTGCTGTTTGGGTCTTCACAACGCCTGTTAACAAAATGATAAATAATAAAAAATTAATAATAACAAACCAATCAAAAATATCATGCAAATGGCTTTAGTTTTGATGTTACTTGGTCTCCTATGAAACCCACAAGGTACCATACTTAAAATTAATTTATATTATAAATAAATAAATTACTGGGGAACTGAAATCCATATACTGTACCGGTAAGCCCTTAATGTAGCTTCATGTAAAAGTATGCCTTGCTGGCACACTTTGTTTGTCAATGTACTTTCATTAAGGTAAAGGAAAGCAAGAACATGGTTGAAAATCTATCTACTCCTCTGATGATCAGTTGTCAATGTGGTGCAGGAGAAGGGAAGAGCAAGAATGAGGAACAATTGGCATGAAATATTAGATCTGGACATACAGGAATGTGTTCTTTAAATCTCTTACACTGTACTCACAAGTACTGCACAAAGAATTTTTATGTCTACAGCCTTGGGTCAATGGTTGAAGAACTACTTAAATTTCAAGGTTTTGGATCCAAGTCCCAGTCATTTATAAATAAAGGCTTTGTCAAAGGGTTCATACAGCAAGGCATTACACCATACAGTACAGTGCTGCTAATGCTTAGTAGATGACTCTCCGTGCATTCCTGACACAGGCCACGGACTTACTCAACTAGCAGTTGGAAATCATTTCTGATCGAAATAATGGTAATTTTATATGCCTTGGGAGGAGTAAAATCATCACTGTAAGAATCACAAGCATTCAGGGAACAACTGCGCAGTACTTCAGCTTTACAAGTTTAGTTAAAGGTTTGTCTCCATCAGTGTCAACATGACTATGGTTAAGAGACTCATATTGCTATGCAGTATAGTGTCACCTGGGTTATTAAAATCCTACAAATTAAATTACTCATAATATGTACATTTTGATCTTGTCATGGCATGTAAAGTAAACTATAAGCACAAAAACCTAAAAATTGTGGATAAGCTTGTGATTCTTAAGTGCCTGGAGGCTGATGGAAATAGAGGTACTGTAGTTTAAACTTCCTGTAAGGATTTGGATTTAAGATTCAATTTTCAAATTTGGCCAAAACTGAGCTGAACCATAAAGCAGAGAATAGTAAAGCAAGTGTGATTGTTCTCTGTGAATGTTAACTGGGGAACGAAGCAAGATGGTGGATTGGTGTTGAGATCAGAGGTGGTAACTCACAACAGTGTCTGTAAGGTATTAGTCAAGTAGCTCAGATACAATAAGACCTGCCTCCAGAGGGTCATCTTTGCTTCTAATCTTCCTGTGTCAAGGGTGATGATTATGAGGAAGAAGAATAGGTGGGGACAGATGTAACACCAAGCACCTAGAACTGGCTAGTGCAAAGAGGAGAGCTGTTTGGCAAAGGGGATCAAACTATAAAAGAGTTATAAAAAAAAAAAAAAAAAAAAAAAAAATGGAGCAAACATGAAAAAGACTCCCATAATTAAAGTTGAGATTCCAAAGAAAAAGTCTTAAAAGGCTACAAAATTTTGGTGTACACAATGATTATAATCCAATAATAAACACAAGAAGTAAAATACCAGTACAGGCAGTAGAGCATATGGAAATTTCTGAGAAACTGTACCAATGATAGTACAAGACTATGGAGGCCAAGTAGTGACGTGCCAAGAGTAAGTCCACTGCACTGATCATATACTGTATACATTTTGAGAAGATTTGATTTAATTTATTGTTTTGTCTTTTTATATGATGATGTTTTATCTGAAAAAGAAATTCTAGACTTATTCATTTAGCATTTTACTCTCTTGAGCTATACATCCATACTAACAGATTGTATCAAAGTTGCGCAATTTCAGTGTGTAAAATAGTAAGATGAAGAAGCTGAGGTGTACAATGACTTGTTAAACAGGGACATGTATTATAATGTTTCTGTTTTTGTACAACAGATTCTGTAGTATTTTGCAACTTAAGAAATTCAAATTTTCATGTTTACAGCGCTGTCCTAATACAGTACAACTGTCTGTACTGTAAGTATCTTGACTTTTAATTCTACAGTGTACAGTATATGCCCCTTCTACTAATAAGGAAATTATCCCATTTAGAACTGGACGGTGCATGGCCGTCCCCTAATATTGTTGTCATCATTGATCTGGATACATTCTGATGTTAAAAATCCATCAGTAAATCCAAACCTCTTACCTACAGTAATCCTTCTTCTACTTGGACTGCCTGTAGGAGAGGCTCAAACCTTTCAAATTATTGGTAGGTGGAATTTACCTAATAATTCACAATGCACTAAATAAATAACATAGAAAAATAATCATGTGTATCACACAAAATGAAGGAGTGTGAAGACATGTTCTTGTACAATGGGTCACAACATAATAAAGCCGACTGGGATTCAACCTAAGAACTGTACTTTAGGCCGGAAGAAGAGTTACTCACACGCACACGCATGCACGCATGGACACACATGCATAAACCCCAAATAAAATGTAATAATAATCAAATCTATTAAAATAAAAAATACATAAGACAAATTATAATGTTTCTGATATAACTAAATGGGGAAATTCACATTTCAACCTTGAGTAATTTCTACATCATTTATTATATAAAATTTTAGTGCAAACAAGATGCTGTCAATAAGATACCCGGTACTTTAGACATATTCTAGATACCCAAACTTTGCTACTAACAACGTCTAACAATATTCCTGCTGCCAAAAATACTAATAAATCGACTGGCAACTTAACTATCCACATATAAGCAAAGAAAAATTACTCTTATCTACTTGCTATAAGGTCAACATACCCAAACAGCCTGGGCATGATAATAAATAAATATAAAACAAGTACCGTACCATACTCACATTCCCAAATAATATACTTACCTCCATAATAATACTGGTACAACATGCTTATCAAGGCAGAGGGACATTTCCTTAACAAGAACAACAATCATGATATACCTGTAGATGAGCATCATTGGACCTTAAAGTATAAAGTACTCTATCTAAAACAGGAGTGTATGTCACATAAGATCGTCTAGAATATTCAGAATATGCATCGTATATCAGACAACCACAACCTAGAAGCTAAGAACATAACACCAAATAAATTTAAGACATGATTCTTGACTTACTACACCACTACAGTACTCTAATTTTGAAGACTAAAAAGCAATCATTATATTTCTCTCTACCATCTACAGTTACTACTACACATAAGAGACAAGACACAAAATGCTGTCACTCTCTTATGAATCCAAAGTATTTATACCCTACAAAGTCATTAATTACACTACTCTTAAAATAATAATAATAATAATATTGAACTCAATTCTCTAGAACTGCAAGTAATTCAGCTAAAATAATTCAGACTTCACATCACACTATGCAAAGATGAATACTTGGATGGAATGAGGTGGACTGCATTATATACATACTATAAGCGCTACTGAGAGAATGTTACTTACGTCTTTGGGATGGCACGGCTCTGCTCTCAGCTAAGCAGTGGTAGAATTGGGACAGAACATAAAAGAAGCACTCAACTCATATGCCTAATCTTCTGACAACACATAACAGTTTTCATTTATTAAATACGGTAACACCTAACACTTAATAGGCAAAATTATAAGTGAACATTATTGAAATAACACAAAACAGCAAGAATATAAGATGACAAAGATTTCAAACCAATAGAGACATATGGCATTGACTTTCAAGGGTGCTATTTGAATAAACATAAAAAAAAGTCAAATGCAAAACTCTTTCATTAGTATAATATTAAGCATCAAAAGAACAGTATTTTATCTCACATCACAGGAAGATTTTGTTGTTTCTGATAAAATTATTGTATGTAATTTACCAATGACAAAATCTCTTCCTTTATTGCCCCTAAACTTAAAAATTTATTATTATAATTAATATTTTTTCTTACTGCTTTGTATAATCAAACACATTACCTAAACAGCTCAATAGTTAAATAGCCAAAAGCACATGAGACATCAAGGTTGGACTTTAAGGAAAGCAGAAACCTGAGAAAAATACTTATATACTGACTTCACACAAGCAGTCATGAAGGGAAAAACATACCATGAAAAAGCTAAGCATAATGCTAAAATAAATGGTGAATATTTTATACAAATATATTACACTGCTGCCATTATAGAGACTGGCACAGACCCACACTGAAAACTTTGCTCATATAATCCCTATTGACGAGACTGGAAATGTCATATTAAAGATCACCATCAAGTACGCTTAGCATCTTATTCCAGTGAAGAGCAGTGATGATGATATATTTACCATAAGATCTGGTAACTTAAGTAGCTTACACTATGGAAGGAAAAATAAATTACTCTGGTACCTAACTTCCTCAGTCATCATGTAATAAATCTTAGTGAAGGGACAATACCACCAAACAGGAGAGTAACATGGTATCACATTCTGCACTTTGGTTTGGCTGTTATATCAACAAAGTGAGTGCCGCATACTTCCACACTAGCAGATAAGAATGTATCATTAGAGGGTTAAGTCAGTCCAAAGAGAGAGAATGTTGAGTGGAAGAGAATCAAACAGAGAGAGAGAGAGTTTAAAACAATATACAGTATGTGCAATAAATACAGGTACTCGCTATTATATTCAGATAAGAAAACTTTGCTTCTGTGTAAGTAATGCATATTATCCTGCCCAGACCATTATTAAGCAGAATACTGTACATTATATCCCATCAGTGAGGTAGCTTTAAGACTCCGTTACATCCTCACCCGAGTCCGACGGCTGCAGGAAACTTGACGTGAACGTGAGTGTCCCCGTGGTGGTGAAGTTAGACAGTATAAATGCTCGGTACTGTTCCCATGTATTGTATCGGCTGTCAGATATGGTCATCTCTGCTCCTTGAATGTCTTCCACTCCCTATAAAAGAAAGTCTCTTCATGTAACTAACCAAGAGGATAGAAGTAACCAGCAATGGAGCAATGGGAAAAATTTATGATCTCAATATCTTTACAGCACTACAGTACATCATGAACATTACAAGGCAGTGAATAAGAAGTTTTAACTAACCTGTAAATGCCAAACATAAACAAATTCATTCTGGGAACAAAATTTACCCTAGAACAGTGAAAAGAAGTACAGTCAATCATAAAAATATCGAGACTCCAGGGTACGGTGGAATAGAAAAAGCGATAACCTCAAATGCGTTCAGGTACCGGCTGGGTTGGTCTCTGCCTGATGCTTTGAATGCTTGGGGTATCAATACTTTTTGGATTGGCTGTACAACTACCGTAAATCATTGTCAAACATCTGATGCAAAAATAAAGCATTTAGAAAAAAAATAAATAAACCAAAGAGCCGATTTGTGGTCACCTGGCGGGAAGTAGACAAAAAATTCTTGCCAGAGAGAGGGTCTGGGGCACCAAGCAGGTCACTCAGAGGGTCAGGTCCATCAAGAACGGATGATAAGGGATCAACCATTATCTATAATTTATCAGGATAAGAAACAATGTGACAAATTTCATATTAAAAAAATAATAATAAATACAATAACAAAACAATACTGTACCAAATACTCAAATAACTTAAATGCAATATTTCAGCTGACCATCAACTTGATACAGTACATAACAGTGACAAGAAAGATAACTTAATGAAATAAATTCTTTCTAGATTAAGCTGCATTCTATAGTACCCAGACAATTGTGGAAAATGACCATAAAACACAAAAGATAAAGAGGTAGTACAGCTCTGAGGGTGAATTTCTTATATATATGTTAATTGATTTCCTTACTGGCTGAACAACGGGCCTGCTTCTCTTGTCGTGTGGTGATCCGGCATGTTTCAGCGTTCGGTCCTTTACCTGCGAAAAATAAATAAAAATGGTTTATCATACACTCTCTCTCTCTACATAAATATTCACATTACGAAATTCACACCACAAAACAGAACATACTGAATCCTGACACAAAAATGCATTGGGGTTTTATGATTTTACTAATATACTGTACTTCTCTCTCTGAGGCTGTGAGACCAGCTTATGTAACCAATGACTTAATGAATAAACCAATATGCACAATTCATAGTAAACGTAGTGAGCATAACTCTACTATGCATGTGAGGAAAATCATACAATATACAGAAATATACAACACACATAAACATACGATATACACAACAGTCTATTATATCTGGTGATTGTCAATAACTTAACAACACCACGTAGGAAACTAATTCAATGAGAGTTTTTATAGGTCACCAGAATACAACTGTGCTTCTTTTTAACTAACCCCTTGTAGTGGATGACTTGTTGTTGGCTTTGATATCAATGGTTTCTTTTCTAAGCCCCATTGTCGAGCAGCCACTTTCCTGTAAATGACAAATATAATGTATTAAGTGATAGAGAGAAGAATGGGTGTTTAGAATATAACAGAAGGAATATTTGAACATACAGGTACTTTATCTTTCTAACTACTGTACTTTATCATTTATTTATTCGACTTCATTCCCAAGTCAAGTAGTTTACATGTTTAAGGTAAGTACAATACAGAGTTACCTGGTTTTATCTTTGCATTCATTACCACCTTGTAAAAATAAAATAAATAAAAAAATAAAAAATATTATCCCCTAAAACTAACATACGATACAAGTTATCTCAATCCAATTCCAGGGGTTATTTTCTATGGCCTTGTTCAGCACTTATTAAGCAACTAGTGGGCCATGGCCTCTATGCCTTAGACACTATGGCAAAACATTAACCACTGAATTCCTGTTCCTGTTATAAAATAGATAATTAATGGATGTTTTTAACCAATTTGTCATGGCACTTTAACGGTTCCTTTTATAGACGAGAGTTTTAGGTTAGGTTAGGTTAGGTTAGGTTGGTTCATTTTATAAACGAATATTCCCCGTTCTTGGGGAATGATTCCACCGGTTACTTCTCACAACTGCTGGTCCATTACCTAATGATTTAAGATAAAATGATAAAAGATAAAAGTAAAAAAAAAAAGTAAAAGAAAAATAAATGCAACCTAACCTCAGAAATCAACAGTGAGAATGCTGCAGTTCCTCCAACTATTTCTTTCTATTCATGGGGTAAGAAACAAATTTCCTTCTATAGAAAATTTCCTTAAAGTGACTTGTTCCCATGAGTCTGCCATGTAAGGCATTACCACCAGAGGACAGCACAACATAGCAGTATTACAGCACAGTACTTATTTCCACTATAGTTAAAGGGCACTACTCTTTTTTAGTATTTCTTACATGCATTGGCTCTTTAATGTGATTTGCACTTTGTGAATTAGACTAGGTATAACTATACCATCACACTATACTGTACTCTCTCAGCCTTCCCTGGGGGTAAGGCTCTCACGCAGTGTTACAGTTAGTGCCAAGCTCTTACAGTGCCATACTTGCTGCTCAAAAGTACTGCACAATTTATAGATAATGTCACCTTAATAACATAGTCCTGTACAACATATAAGTTAAATTCTCACCAAACCACCAACATGATCCGCCCACTTCACCTCCTGTGTCATCAGCTGTAACTGGCAGGTGTCACCAATCATCAAGGAGATACTATCATACTTTAGCCAATCAGAGTAGCGGAGGAAGGAGCATACCTCTAAATGTTTCTATGTCATTTCATAACATTCTTATTAAAATATATGTTGATATGGTGTATATGATATTATGACCATTACTTCTCTGTTGTGCAGTAGGTCTCCGGCATCTATTTCTTCTTTTCTTTTGTGTTAACCCTCTCTTATTATTTTCAGAGGGCGTTGACGTTATCATCATTAGTCATCGGTGTAGGACCAGCCGTTCTATCATTTTTAGTTAACTGTATTCAGAATACTTTATAACTGTATTTTTCTTGAACGTTTTCGCCAAAGATTGGCCTGTTAGCCGGCAGGGCGGTCGGTCATGTGCCAATAATTGACAAAGCGCGACATTTGGGGCAAATGCCCCGGGGCCGCCCCACAAAAGTCGAGAATATTTTGTAATATTGAGCAGTGGCGGCTGGTGCAGTCCCCCCAGACACTCACTGCCAGGCGTATGATTCCTTTAGAGAGACAGCTGAATAATACACTACCAACAAATATATCATTTTATATGTTATTTAATTATTTTCAATACGTTGCTAAGTGAATTTTCATTAAAATCAGACCAAAATTTAAGTTACTTTCATAGTTGCTGTCAATGCTGTACGATTCATGTCTGTTATTATCGCCGCCGCCGCCACACCTGAAGCAGCTCAGTCTCGTACAACGTGTGGACGGTGTGGTTAAATCGTGCTTTCTTTAATTACCCTTTGACGATGGAAAATCGAGTGAAGTATTTGCAAAACATCAACTTTTCCCAGCTGACATTAAATGAAAAGACTGAAATCAAAGCAAGAGGAAGACCTACACCAGGTTTATCCATTGAACAGAACAGTACAAGCAGGAACAAAGAATATACACGCCAGTTTAACATGAGTGTTTATGGCTCTGTGGTTGTGACGAGGCAAATACTTTATTCTGCTTTCCATGCTTATTGTTTGGTGGGGACTCGGCATGGACGAAAAGTGGTGTGACTGACTTGAGGCATTTGCCACAGAAAATAGTGAAACACAAGAGAAGATTTGTGTAAATCAGAAAGTCTCATAGACTTGTTGGAGATGATGAATGACAATAATCTACAGTCAACATTTTCAAACACTGTCAAGTTGCTGAAAATTTTAATAACAACTCCAATGACAACGGCAGAAGCAGAAAGGTGCTTTTCAACTTTGAAGAGAATTAAAACTTTTTTGCACAGTACCATGGTGAATGACAGACTGTCTGCTTTAGCAGTGATATCCATTGAAAATAAAATGATAACAGAAATAAAGGATTTTAATGAAATAGTAATAAACAATTTTGCTACATCAAAGAGCAGACACGCGGACTTTATTTTCAATTAATACTGGTCCTTCACCACCAACACTACTACCATGCCCTGGGAATTCGTGGACATCAACTACAACTCATACCTGAGGTAGGTCAAATTTGTGTATCCTACTGTTGTGTGAGGCTTGCAGTCCCTCCATTTTATTTTTCACGAGCCGCCACTGATATTGAGTGTAAGGGCCTTCAAGGCTGGGTGTCGCACCATCAGATAGAATGACAAAACAAATTTGAAGAGTGAACTTTTCATAAATAGATAACAGGTTGCATTATAGGCTTTTCTATAACTTTTCCGACCTGCAAGGGGTGACTTAATTGAGGTGCAAGCATCTCAAGTCGAGTGTCCTTACTTGGACGCTCGCCCCACAAGGGGTCACAGCTCAAGATAGAAGAAGTCGCAAGTCCATAAAACTGTGAGGGCAAACTTTTTCGGAGTGAGAGTTGTGAACTATTGGAACAATCTACCAGAGAGTGTTGTGACGACACCGAGTGTGAGCTCTTTCAAGACCAGACTTGACCAACACTGGAGCAGGTTCAGGTACATTCAGGAGCCGGTGCATGCCCAGTACTTGCCAACAGTGCGTGACAGAGACGTGACCGATCGCCCAAGCGACTAACGAGCCGATCAGTGGTGAAGAGGATAACAGTAAAGTAAAAGTTAGTTTACTTAGTTTGGATCGCACGCACTGGTGACGACTAAGCACTTAAGATGTTCGTAACCCGTTATAGTGAATTTCAGCCAAGTACTACAACTAGAACGAAAGCACGGGCCTCGAGATGCAGGCCGGCATTTAAAAATACTGATTAAGTTTGAAAATTACTTGTTTTGGGATACTGTACTTTATAAATTTATGTACATAATCAGCAATTCAGTATATTTTAATTGTACTAGTTTATGTTAAAAAATGAACATATTAATTTAAAAAGGGGCTATCAATTTTTATATACACATCCCTATCAATTTTGGCTAATTTCAGCCTATAGCGAGGGGCCCCCACAAAATGTTTAGCCCTCTTTTGGACGTTCTCGATCAATTGACAGTCTAGCACATCTCGGGGTCGAGACAGTCCTCCAAACAGGTATACCTCACCTATGAAGAAAGATGTGAGGGACAGACCTCCTAGGTATGTGAACGACCATCATATTAGATTTACCTTCTTATAATTGTCCGACAACTTCAGTTCGTTATCAACATGCACACTCTTCACATATGATCTCAATTATTGGTGTTGCTTCGTCACGTATCCTGTCATTTCCTGCAATATCTCTAAACTTCAAACCGACATTTCAAAGATCTTTAGCTTATTGATATCATCGCTCTCTATAGTCTTCGCCACATGGCAGCTTATCATCCGGTCAGTCTGTTCTCTGTTATGACCTTCATTGTCCAGTGTTGAGTACTGTACCCAGATAAAACCTGCGATGGTTGATTGGGTCTTATTGGAAAACGTATTTCTTACATCCGACCCATGCAGGAATCGAACCCAGGGCGACATTGTGAGAGGCATGCACGCTACCGCAGTTTGATGCAGGTGCTGTCTGGCTGTAGGTGTAGTTTGAAAAAAGTCCCATTTGAGTCATAAATACTCAATGAAGTTCGCTAGGTAAACAGGATAATTAAAGAGGTACTGTTTTGTAGATAAGTCTAATTAGTTATCGCGGATCTTGCGCCCACACACTATCAAATATATTTGTCAAACATGGTGTTTGATCATACACTTTGAGAGTGTGTTAGTAAGTTTGAAGGTAATACCAACATGTTTGAAGAAAATTAAACAAGTTTGATAATTTCTCGTCCAACATGATGTTTGTCAATCACTTTGGATAGTGTGTGGCAATGTATGATCAAACATACTCAGTCGAGAAGCAGTAGCCCTGGCGGGCGCACGGGACTCCCATGAGTTTTGGAGAGTTTATTAACCTTTATAAGTAATTTCCATCATTGTGGCACAAAAAGTGAAGATTACAAGAATAGATCTCTTAAACAAGAATGTTATGGGAAATTAGTGGAAAAGATGAAAGAAATCATCCCTACTGCGACCAAGGCAAGTGACTAAGAAAATTAATTCCTTCCTCTTTTTTTATGTATGGCGTCACTTTCTCCAACACTTCAACGAAAGATTCATTATCCATTCTCAAAAAATTCTTATAATTTTGAGATGGTACCACTAGTTCCTTTAATAAGGCGCCGTGAGAGAACTTGGGTTTCTTTCTGTGCCATTCCTTCATCCATAATTTTCTGTTTCGTTTTTTCTTTGAAGTCCTTGTTTCAAGAGCAAGTTTAATAGCAATACAGGCTGGCTCCTTACTCATGCTGTCACCCAATGTTGATGCGGCGCGTACCAAGACACCAACTGAAGTTCAGTCTTTCTAGTTGTAAAATGTGTGGAGATGTATGATGCATGATCAAACATCATGTGGGAGCCTTCTTCAGCGTATACAGATACAGTGTGCCATCAAACAAGTGAGAATAGTTTTGAAAGAGACACCAAATTATCAGAAAACTTTAAGAAGAATTACTATGAGAATCTGTTTAATATATGGTTCGAACGATTCTGGCATCATGAGCGTTGATGCCAGTTGCCAGCAGCTTCTTGTCCACAGCGAGACCGACTCCATCGTCGCCGAGGTTCCCGCCTCACCCAGGCTCGCCGTTACAGGTTAGTAGCGTTTGTAACAGCGCAGGGGAAGGGTGCCGCGCAGGACTGCTCTGCTGGCATCAGTTAATACCAAATAAACCTTATTATTTTCTTACATCATCAGAAGGTGAAAGACACAAATATTACAATATGCTGAAGGAAGGCATTATATCTGGTCCAAAATGGGTATTAGGGGGCTTCTTATTCTTCGCATTATGGAATCAACTGTTGCGTTTTGTCATCCCCCATAGTGCGAGGAACACACCTACTCAGGCCTGGAAATGGAAAAACACTGCCGTGTCGCTGACACACTCCCTCATCACGGGTTCCTGGTCGCTCTATTGGTGAGTAAATCTGATTCTAGTAAATCATGGCTTAATTTCATCTTAGTTATGTGAGCCAGCCAATGATGGGCGGTAGGCCGTTAGAGTTAAGCACACGCCCATATTTTCCAAATTAGGGTGAAAAGCCTAATGGTACTGGCGTATTTCTCATGGTAGATGTATACGGTATAAATATGAGGCACCATCTTACAGTACATGCGCCAAGAATAGGTCTTCTGTTGTGTGTTATAGCCTACATATTTAGAAAACGTACACGTTAGGCTTACTCAAGCCGCATCAGCCGCCTACACTGGCATAATATATATATATATATATATATATATATATATATATATATATATATATATATATATACACATATATACACTCGGACATAATTTCATTTTTGTAAACCTGTGCAGAGTTCCTGCGGTGAGTTTTTAGTCCCGAGTTGCCTTCAAGACAACATCACCCCGTAAGAATTCCTGAGTTACTCAAGAGTTCTTACGACGAGGAAGGGCGAATTGCACTCTTCATTCGTCCCCCCCACCCTCCAAGAGCTCCCCCACACCGTAAGAACTACTTACCGGAAGTCTTTAACTGCAGCTGGTGGGGAGGGGGGGGGTATTCTATTGTTTGGTTTACTACTACCTACTGTTCCTCCGGGACCAGACGTGTCACAAGGGTCTTCCTACCTCAGCCTCACCTAACACACCGTAACGCTCTTCAAGAGTGAGGTGCTTCCCCTTCTGGAATACTGTCACCCCGTCAGGTCCCCGAGATATGCTGAAGATTGTCAGTTGATTAAAAATGTCCAAAGAAGGGCCACCAGACTGGTACCTCCACTTCGGCACCTCAGTTATCCAGAGAGATTAGAGCGCCTGCAACTACCTAGCTTATACTACAGCCGGGCAAAGGGTGACCTAATTGAGGTGTATAAACATCTCAGTCGAGTGTCCCATACCTGGAGTTGATGGACGCCCGCCTCAAGGGGTTACAGCTCAAGGTTGATGAAGCCATAACTCCAGAAAACTGTGAGGGCAAACTTTTTCGGAGTGAGAATTGTGAACTCTTGGAACAATCTACTGGAGAGGGTTGTGACGACATTGAGTGTAAGCTCTTTCAAGACCAGGTTCAGATACATTCAGGAGCGAGTGCATGCCCAGTACTTGCCAACAGTGCGTAACAGAGGCGTGACCGACCACCCAAGCAGCATCAGTGGCGAAGAGGATAAAGGTAAGGTAAAAGTATGAATTTATTTATTTATTCATCGGAGTGGTTATTTGCCGGGTAACAGACCCTTCCTTCCGCTGTTTGTCTGTTCCGATTGAATATATATTGTGTGTGTGTTCCTTATGTTCATATTTCCACTGTTTTCAAGATACTGGAGCTAAAGTTTCGTGGGGAGATGTGGGTGGCCCAGGGATGGTCGTGTACTGTATCTCGTCCGTTCGTGTTGGGCAGGGGCAAAAACGAACCCTCCGGCCTCCGATGCACTCCCACACGTTTGAAGATAAGAGCTAACCTAACCTAACACTGTTTACTTCTTACTCAGCCCATCAGTGGAAGTCTCATGTCACGAGTTACAAGTGTACTGACCATGTGCAGTCTTTGGTAGCTTTAGAATTTGAATTGCATACAGTGGCAAGATGGCTTCTCTGTGTTTGAAAATGAAACCGTTGTTGATGATATTTTCAGGTCTCATGGTGTTATGTTATTGTCTATAAAGTGTCCAAAGTATGGTTCAGACTGCCACGCTTGGTTTTGTACTGAAAGAAGAAAAATCCCCAAGACAAAGGTATTTCTTCATTGTGGCTTTACATTTACGGTAACTGTCCATAAGAGAGCTTCACTGTTGAGTTAGTCGAATTGTTGTGATGCCAGGCGTAGGGAGGACCATGGTGCTGGGGGTGCTGGAAATCGATGGATGGCAGTTATGTCCTTCCTCCCCTCTTACCTCCCCTAAACACTCCCCCCACACACACTGCTGCTCCCCATCGCCCATCCCCTTCACAAACCTGACCTCCCTTCACGTAGTACACCCCTTCACTCCTATCATGTATCTATTTTCACCTTCAACTTTCTTTCCACTCTCTCCCCAGAATTTTTTTTAGGTAATGTTCAGTCAAAAATGTATATAACTGGTGGTACATTGTTCTCGGTAAAGCGACTTATATCCGCCATCTTGAAGAACACTTAAAATAATTCTTAGGTAAGCTAACTAATATCAGTACTAGTCCACAGTTAACGACCTTAACAGTAGGCTGTGCTTACTTTCTTACATTCAGTCTCTTGCATTTTGGTGTTGATTGGTATTAATGAAGGGGAATCAAGAGACGTTCTTTATGTAGCTCGACATCAATACGTTATTTAAATTGAAAACTCCTCCCATCTCCTTATTCCTTAGGTCAATAATGGTTTTTTATCAGTCGTTCCATTATGTACTTCCCAGGCTGCCTTTACACCGTCACGCACCGTATCGGCCGCCTACACTGATGCATTATTCTGGTCACATCTGCGGTGTTCACTTTACAGGGTACAGGGGGGGGGGTACATAAGCTTTGCTCTCTCTCTCTCTCTCTTTTCAAATTTACTTATTTAGAACTGTTTTACCATTCAAGCTTACTTATTAACAATCCTTTTACCATTCAAGCTTACTTATTAACAACCCTTGCCTTTAATCACCTCACGACAGCAACAACAGAACATTTAGTGTCAAGTGTGGTGAATCTTCTCATCTTTCGTACAGACGCATCCGGTAACTGTTGCATCTCACTAAACAAAAATAGTAGTGATGATGTTATCTATTTAATCTTACGTACAGTTTTAGTTACCTCGTAGCTATCGAGTGTGACCTTGTGGTGGTGTATCAGTCGTTGTCAATACTGAAACACCGAACATGATTTTGCTGTTGACATTTTCTCGCGGCGTTGCGTTACGTAACATATATACGTAACATATACTATACAGTACCTGTCACTCCCCGTGCTACCTCCCACCCCATAACTCCGTCACTCCCCGCGCCACCTCCTCCCGCTCGTCTCCTGTCAGTAGCTGTCGACCGTGAACCTTCCCTCTCGTGTACCCTTGCATATAGTACATTATTTTTCTCTTTCTGTTATTGTTGAATTTCTTTGTGAATTGCTTAAAACTCAAATTTCTAGCCGATCACCTTTTCATATTTTAATTTTCCCCTCTGCTATCAATGAACTTTCCAATCCATCGAACATTTTTAACCATTGTAATGAAACACGCACGATGGTATTATTCTGGTACAGGAGAAATACATTTTATAATGCGGAATGAGTCAAGAATGGCACTCAATGCAAGACGAGACAGGCGGGAGGGGGTGTGGTGTGGTTGGTTCATTAATTAAGTTAGGTTAGGTGTTGTTTGGTTAGGTTAGGTGTTGCTTGGTTAGGTTAGGTGTTGTTTGGTTAGGTTAAGTTAGGTTCGGTGTTGTTTAGTTAGTGTGTTTAATCATAAGTTGAAATACGCTAGGGTGTCTCATCTTAAGGGGATATAAACTGTGGTGCTTAATCTTCATGTGATGCCTAATTAGGTGTTGGGTTAGGTTAGGTTTGGTGTTTTTGTATGAATGAGGCTTGTTTGAACTTTAAACCATATCTATGTGCTTACCGGACCCTTTTCTTGCATATACTCGTAGTTAACCACACACACACACACACACACACCCATTCTAACGATGGTCATATTTATAACAGTCAGATTGTGGGGTTATGATTACCATTCATTTTTATTTACCTTAAAAGTGACTTGGGTCAACAAGTGGCTGAAGAAAAACGACTAGGCAAGAGACAGGTGTGTGTGATAATGTTATCTGCTGTCTACCCCAGAGATATGCACAATTACTACATGTTATCTATAGAAGTAGGACAATAGTGTGTATATGTGTTATATAAGACACACATATAGACACAGCCTAAGAGGAGCAAGAGATGCTGATATAATTTTTTTTAGCCTTATAAATAATTTTCCTGTTGTATAAGTAACCGGGCAAGTGGTGAGCTATAGTTCTTAACATACAGTAGTCAATGGTAGCGAGGGTAGGAAGAAAACCCTGACCTTATCTTAGGAATGACGCTAGGCTTGAGGGTTCTGTGATGATGCCGCTGGTCCTACTTGGGTGTTCGTTGCTATGCTTGGCCACGTGTTTCCTGTCTGGGAGACGACCGAATCGATACCCAACACCATTCCCCCCCTCCCCTCCCCCCTCCCTCTCTTCCCTATCCCTTCCTATAGAGTTAGACCCTATAACCTTTGGGGGGGGGGGATTCAGTTTGATTTGGACATTTTTCTAAATATTAAATTTTCTCACTGTATTTGGGATTTGTCGAAATTCGTTAGTTTAAAATGTTATTATCTATCCAAAGTATAAATAAAAAAAAGAATCTCTTGGGTTTATATATTGTTTACTTGATTGTTATTGTTTAGTTTTTGTTTTAATTGCTGTTTATACAACCAGCAACATCATGCCAATAATACGAGGTTAAGTATTCATATGAACATAAGAAAATAAGGAGTCTGCGATAGGCCGGTTGGCCTGTGCATGGCAGCTCCTGTCGAGAGTTACTACCACTCTCTATCATCCATGAATCTATCCAGCCTCCTTCTTTAAACTTTCCAGCGTTCCAGCACTTACTACAAAGTTGCTAAGCGTGTTCCACTCGTCCACCACCCTATTTGTGAACCAGTTCCTTCCTATCTCCCTCCTAAACCAAAACTCACCTCACCTTGGGTACTGTCACCTCACCATGGGTACTGTTGCCTCACCTTAGGTACTGTCACCTCTCCCTGGGTATTGTCACCTCACTCTGGGTACTGTCACCTCACCATGGGTACTGTCACCTCACCCTGGGTACTGTCACCTCACCCTGGGTACTGTTACCTCACCTTAGGTACTGTCACCTGTCACCTCACCTGGGTACTGTCACCTCACCATGGGTACTGTCACCTCACCTGGGTACTGTCACCTCACCCTGGGTACTGTCACCTCACCT